CCCCCCGCCACGTGCAGGAGCTCTTCACCACAAGTCCTGAGGTTCGTTATGGCGGATCCAAACTGGGCCAATAAGCTTTCGAGTTGCACCTCGATACGGTTAATACCGGTTCTGGTAGGTATGGCTGCCTCGTCTGACGGCGCTGCCGTCTACGAGCTTAGTGATGCCGCTGCATCCGTCCTTGGTGCTGGTCTTGGACTCTGTGAGTCCCTTCTAGGGCTCATAACCTGATGTTCGTTATGGCGAGCACGTGCGCCGCGCGTGCTCACCATTGGAAGCAAAAGGAAAACACTAGTGAAGTGCGGGACTCAGAGTCCGCAGGGACAAAAGACGGCGGCTGTGCTCTCGACTGGAAATTCAGAAGTGAAGTTCAGCCGCCGCCAAAACCCTTGAGTATGTATTAGCAGGTTAGTATAATAGCAGTTTGAAATAGCTTACAGCCAACAGTTACCGTAAAGGAGCTGAATAGTTACTGGTTACACAGTGCGCAGCACTGGAGCTGGGACGCTGTCCTGGCTCTGTAGTTGTAAATCCACCGTAGTTCACAAGTCCATCATTCGCTATTTGCTGGAGCGGATGGTGGACAGTAAGCTCTCCAGGACCTCCATTAACGACGCTGCTGCGCGTTTGGGCTGCACCCGACAGACGACAAGCACTGTTTTCCGAGCTCGCAACGATGACCCACCTGAGAGCGCCAGAGACACAGCAAGCGTCTAGAGTCCTGGGGACCTCACTGCGGCGCTAGAGGTCGCACCAGCCATCGAGCGGACATCTTACCAGAATTTCATCCAATGCACCGGCCTCTCTCAGAGATGCCAAGCTCGTGCACCACACACGGCGCTGCAACGGTCGCGACGTCTGCTAGGTGCTCTTTCTGATTGCTGTTGGGCGTCCTCGGTACGACGCTCACACGCGCAAATGGGTTGATGGCAAGTTGGGTGTTTGGCCATTTGTGGAGATGGTGGAGTCTAAACGCTCGTCCACGAGCCGTCCCGCCGGTACGCCTGAGCTTAAGTGCCTCTCGATCGCCAAGACGACTTACAAAGCATTTCTCATCGAGAAGATCATTACTGCAATTACGGCCAAGTGACCAGGTACGTCATTATTGTAAAACAAAAACTACAATTATATTATTCTAACTTGAACATTATCCTGTATTTTTGTTTAGGATCTAAAACGGTCACGGTACAGCAAGATAACGCAACGCCGCACACGAGTGCATACTCTGAAGCAGTGAAACAGGCTTGTTATTCTGACGGTTGGAAGATCAACTTCCTAAACCAACCGCCACGCAGGCCAGATTTATTGGATCTGGGTTTTTACTCAAGCATCCAAGCTCTTCAGTACCAGAAACGCGCGTACGGCGTGGAGCAGCTTGTTGCAACAGTCATGTCGGCATGTTCAGAGCTCCAGTCGGTGACATTAAGCAAGTGTTTTCTAACGCTACGCTCCGTGCTAGAACAAGCGATGTTAAACCAAGGCGGAAAACGAGTACAAGATCCCGCATCTGAGCAAGGACAAGTGGCTCCGCTTGGTGACTTGCCTCTTTTGCTGCCGTGCTCCAGCGAGACTGTAGAAATCGCCAATGCGGCCCTCGACGAGGTCATTGTGTAGACGTCGTAATTCCACGAATTAGCAGTTTTCAGACTTAGTCGAATTCGTTACTACTTGAGGAGTGGTTGAAAAATGTCCTATTGATATGTTTAGACCCATAAAGTACGAAAGTGAACGTGGTTTCAATTCTAGTGTGGCTTTGATTGGAAGGATCTTTAATATGTTTTGGTTTGCTAAAGTTGTACATCAATGCGTCTTAATTAAGATAGTTCAAACTGTGACCGGGGCGAAATTTTGGGAGATGTTTGGTCATTTTGTTGGCGTTCAAGTGACCATATTCTTTGTGCCATTTCTCAATTCTGACTCCCGCTAATATACAACTTTTGTCTTCCGCACATAATCGATTAATACAATAATTGTTTTTACACTAATTGTATTAGAAATGCATTTCTAATTAGTCATTCCATGCATTTCTAATCGTCCATTTGCAATGACGTCGCGAGTCAGCCTTCGGGATGCGATGAGGCGCTCGGCTGGGGCTGCCCCCGAAGAGAAGAGCTCCGCTATGGCGCACACATTGCGGCTAGCGCGCCAGTCCGGGAACCTGAATCTGTCGTCACGTGACTTCCGCGTGTTCCCTAAGGAAGTTTTCCGCCTTTACGACGAGCTGGATGAAGACGAGCATAGCTGGGAATGTGCAGTGCTCAAGAAGCTAGACCTAAGGTGACAATGTAACAGATATCTTATCTAATTTCTGCTAGATGCTTTATCTAACGATACAATTGACAGCTACAACGAAATCACAGAGCTTCCGAGTGAAGTGGAGAAGCTCAAGCACCTCGTGAGCTTCAAGATGCGCCACAATCGTCTACGTCAACTACCTTTGGCTATATGGAGTCTGGAGACTCTCACAAGCCTTGATCTCAGCAAGTACGTCATTGTAAAATAATTATCTTTGCACTTATTGGGTAGTAATATTACTTTTTTAAGCAATGAGTTGGAAGGCTGTCTTCCAGAGCAATTGGGTAAACTGGACCAATTACGTGACTTGGGACTGGAAGGCAATAAATTGACGAAGCTGCCGGAAGCTATTGGTGGACTAGTGCACTTGGAGGTGCTACGGGTGGAGAACAATCAAGTGAGAGCCTTTCCGACGACGATCGGGAGACTGAGGAACTTGAAAACATTATCCGCACACTCGAACCAAATTGTGGAGTTGCCAGCATCCTTTAGCTCACTTACAGGTCTACTGACGCTGGATCTGAAGAAGAATTGTTTGGTTACTACGGGCGACGCTTTTCTCGACTTGGCGTCCATCAAGTACATTGATCTGCGTCAGAACAAGCTTGAACTATTCCCAACGCTGCCGGAGAATAACGCGTGCTTGGATCAGCTTTTTCTTGGATTTAATTTGCTCCGTTATATCCCCGACGATGTTATATTGACTGTCAAGGAGTCACTCACAGTGCTGGATGTTCGAGACAACAAACTACAACGATTGTCGGATAGAATTCCGCAGTTGTACCGGTTGAAGACGCTCGATGTGACGAACAATGACCTGCATGATTTACCCCCGGGATTCGGGTACTTAAAGTACCTGACTCACTTGCTGGTTGAGGGCAACCCGTTGCGTTCTATTCGACGATCAATTATTTCAGCTGGTACGGAGCCATTGAAGAAATACTTGCGCACACGTGGTGGTCCACCTGTAGGAGTTGATGCCATGGAGGAAGAAGTGGACGAGTTTACCATCCGACAGAGGGAAATGGAGAAGGACGAACCTATGGCCGAAGAACCGCCACTAGAAGACGAGTATCTCTTCCGTAACGCTGCTGCTTCGGGCAACTTGCAGCTCATTGATATGAAACTTCACCAGTTACCAGACCAACTCCACGCAGCAGGGAAATATCGATTTGGAGAAACTTTACTTCAGCTCAACTTGTCGAAGAACTGGCTGGTCGAGTTACCTGCGGTGATTGGCGACCTGACGTCCTTGCAGACACTCACTGCAGAGCAGTGCGGCTTGAAGTCGATTCATGCTTCGATCGCGATGATACCGCGTCTGGAACACTTACGGCTCAGTAAAAACTCGCTCACGACCGATGCTGTCAATGCAATGCTAGTCTCAGGCAACCGTGCTAGCATCTCCTTCTCTCTAAAAGAGCTGGATCTCCGCAACAATGTGTTGACGGACATGCCCTATAATTTGCAGCATTTGCAAACGTTGGACACCCTTTCACTCTCGTTCAACCGAATCCGGTCGTTGGACGGATTCCCGTGGTCCTTTATGTCCCAGCTTTCTGTACTCAGCATCGCAGACAATCGGGTACGTGTGAATTATAGGTCTGGCTGTATTCAGCGCGTTAACTATTGTTGTGATTTTGAATTTGACTCAGCTGGAGTCATGCGGAACTATTTACCAAGTGCCGAAGCTGACGTCGCTGTCTTTAGAGAATAATGAGCTGCGTCAGGTATTGAGCCTAGATTACTGTTGCATCTCATCATTTTACTAACGCTGTCCTCGTTTGAATAGATTCCAGCAGAGTTTGCGCTTTGTGAGAACCTCCGCGCTTTTTACCTGGCTGGTAATCCCCAGCGAGGTATTCGAATGCACATCCTGAACAATGGCACCGAGGCGGTGCTGAAATATCTCCACAATAGACTCCCTCCCGATGTGTTACCACCCACCATTGGTAAGGAACTGCAAGCGGCCAAGGATACGACTAGTGTGCGGCCAAACCAGAACAACGAAGGAACCCCGCACCAACGAAGTACTCCAAGCCCCCTAGAGTCGAAGCGTCCTCGTGTAGATGCATCAACGCCCCCATTCAAGCCGCTGGAAGTGACTCCTGCCAACCAAAAATCCGAGTCCTTTGCCAAGCAGCCACCACTTGCACCAACGCCAGCTGCAACCCCAACTCCCTTAGCACCAGCCGAGGATCAAGTACTGGCTGAGCTGAACGCTAAAATCCTGAAGCTCGAGCAACAATTGGATGACTTCGCTATCTCCGCAGCGAAGCGTTTTGCCTTGAAAAAGGACTTGGCTATGACGCGATCCCAGAAGATTCGCCACCTACGCAAGATCGGACAAACACCCTAGCGCATCAACCGCTTCAACATCATTTTTGTGCTGTAACTACGAGAAGCATTTCCGCGCTACATGTTTAAAGCAAACAAGTTAGTTTTGCCTAGACTAGACTATTGTGTTGCAAATCTTTTTCTTCCTCACTAGCAATTCAACGTGGCGTTAATGCCGAAAATTCTAACTCGATCAACCTCTTTCCCTTTAGGCCACCCGTATTTCGTTAGTAGCCCTTGTCCAGTAACGAGGTGAACGCAAAAATCCGCTTGTTTGCTTCCTCCGCAACGAAGAATATCTCCAATTTCTCGACTTTAAAGCCTTCAGGCGATTCAACAAACGATTTCAAAAAGTATTCAATGTGGAAAGGCTGCTGCAGTGACGCCGCTAGTTGCACGAACCGAACTGTTTGGGTCTTTTTCAACACCATGATGGCATCGTAGCCACCTACATTCCAATATGTCGGCTTGAACCACGTTGTACTCTCGGACAAGGCCATAGGAATTGCATGTGAATCTTCGATCCGCTCTGTCTTCCATATTTAATAACCGCCGCTGTCATGCATTTTTATGCCTTCATTCTGAAAACGGAAGAAGAATTCTACATCGATCTTCCGCTTTCCTTATCGGAGAAAAAGATATACCGACTCGATCCACCAGCGTAATAATATTTTGACTCCACTATTGCCTCGCGTCTTGTATCTTTTGTCAACTTTCTCACTGTTGCCCCTTGCGAGACAGTCGACTGCACCCAACACTTTTCCATTGGTCAGAGTTTCACTGGTATTCAGCTTCTCTGTTACACTGTCGAAGAAAGCTCATTGTTGACAGCCGCCTGGTACGCTCTTCCAATATCCAGGAATTCACTGTGAATTCCTTCAATCGTATCATGGTCTCCGTGTCGTACGACCAATTCTGACTTTCGTTCTTCGAGCAAACAAAAACCAAATATCGGCCGTTCCGGTTTCCATCCGTGAGAAACCAGTCGATCTCACTTTCCACTTGTTGATTTTCTCCACATATATCGCCGTCAATGATCACCAGGTGATGCCTTGAATTCATACTATAAAGGCCTCTTTTCAGGTCTTCGTCTCGGATGATATTGGAGGAGCGGTGTCGCCGATTACGGCCCGTCGTTCAACGAGTTCAAGCTGTGGTCGCGTCGGCTGCTGGACCTGGCCAATGGAGATCACAGGCGCATGCCCTGAGGCGTATCGAGGGCGTGGTGCCTGCACTGCAAGGTTTGGACGGCTTGGTGGCACGCTGCGCGGGACTTTGGTGGGTGCTGGCACGCGCTCACGACTGTATGTTCAAGGCACGGTGAAGGAGCACCCTTCCGTGGCCAAGTACCTGTTTTCTTTTCCTCATTAATAAACTTTCCCTTTCGGAAACACCCCGGGTAACGCGACAAGCGATTGCGACTGATTCAGCTGACATGCAAGTACCAATTCATGCCTTGGACGACGTGAATCCATGTCACTCTCCATTTTATTTTGTCGAGTGTAGTCGCAAATGCCAAAGCAGTGACTGACTTGCCGATTCCGGGGGGCAACCACCCAACCAACATGACGATGACCGCATACTTCCTCTGTGAGAAACTTGAACTGCTCGGTGAAAGATTAGTCGGCAGTACAGTATTAGCGATGGAGCCGAGTTGTAGGATGCTGCGAGTCCTGTACCAGCCAACTCCCCCTGGTGGAGCTCGAAATGTGACATACTTGGGTCATACATGCGGCTTATGGGTTTCACCGGGCCTACCTTAACAAGTATGTAGATCACATCGCTCGGCGGGATTTGCCCAAGCACCGCTCGAATCGGCCGCATAATGTCGATCGATCGAACGACCGAAAGTTATCGTCTTCACTGCGCTGGGTTTTGATCTGCGGCATATTTCGTCGACCAGAGGATCCGAGCGTTGATCCAGGCTCCATCAATACACGCGAGATAAGAGCCCTTTAGTATCAATCCATTGGTGTCCACCTTTTCCACGATTGCATTCGACAAGATGTACATTTTTTTTTATTTTCCTCGACTACGACATCAATCACCGCCTCTGGTTTCCCCACTACAGCGTACGCGAAATACCTAATTGCCGTTTTCGTATTTTCACTTTCAGGAATGAGCGCTTTTTTCTTTCGAGTATTGCAGCTTATCTCTTGAGGGAAAAAAATGTGACTAACCCGAAATTTCCGAGCTTTTGGGCCTGTTCAGCAGATCCGCTGTTTTGGCTGAAATAGAGCCTTTCAGAAACCCCGACAAAACAAAATCACGTAGCGAAAATCATGTAGAGCGATACCGGATTTCAGCTACGGGATTTCAGTCGCTTGGTGTCATTCAGAAGTAACGAAATTTCAAAGTCCGTACCAAAACTACGTAGCCTGACTTGTAGTAATAATAACCAGATACGCAAGCCAAGGTGAAAATGGACCTGACATCTCCTCCGCGGCTTCTGCGCAGCTTCAGCCTCATGCTGCCGCTCCCCCGTCGTCGTGTGGTTGCGGATGAAGACGTAGAGCTCGTCGTTCTACTGGAGATCGCCTTCAACGCGCCGCTTTCGTACAGAGATCGCGTGCTCATTCCAGACTTTCGACTCGACATCCTTGTCATGGCTGACGACGAAGCATTGGACCAGTCCCGCTTCATTTCTAGTGATTTGGAGCGCCTTGTGGTACACTTGCAGATCCGCGATCCAGTTATAACCAAGGAGGGAGTCCGAGCGACTCCACTGGAAGCTCTGGCAGTTTGTCTTCGTCGCATGGCGTTCCCTCAGCGCTGGATCGACATGGCGGCCATGTTTGGCAGAGCTCCGTCGACACTTTGCCATATATTTTATTTTGTGGTGGAGCACCTTGATGCAAAGTTTGCAGACCTTCTCTACTTTGACGTGGATCGAGTTACCGCCAACCTAGATCGCTACTGCCGTGCGATTGCTGCGAAGAACCCGAACCACATCGAGGGCGTCTGGGGCTTTATTGACGGAACAGTGAGACCCGTTTGCCGTCCAAGCTTAGGTCAAGAAGCGCTGTACAATGGACACAAGCGAGTGCATGCATTCAAGTTCCAGACGGTCGTGGCTCCTGACGGCATCATTTGTCATCTTTTCGGCCCCGTGGATGGAAGACGTCATGACATATACATGCTGAGACAGAGTGGATTACCAGAGCTGCTTGAAGACAATTCAGAGTTTCATGGGAAGCTGGTGTACGGTGATCCTGCTTACGGGTGCACTGACGTGTTCTGCTGTCCTTACAAAGGTTGTAGCATTAACCCTCACCAGCACGCGGTGAACAAGGGTATGAGCTCTAAGCGTGTGTCGGTGGAGTGGTCATACGGCCAGATAACCAGGTACTTTTCGTATCTGGACTTCACGCGGCACCAGCCATCTGCAACGACTCCTGTTGCTACCATCTACAAGCTCGGGGTGTTGTTTACGAACTGCATAACGATTGCACGCGGTGGAAACACAAACTCGCGCTTCTTTGGATGTAAACCACCTACGTTCGAAGAGTACTTCAGTTCTACCACCGACTAAGTCGATAATAATTAATTCGTTCGATTTCCAGCGTCGTAGAATATCAGGAAAAACTCACCCACACACACCAATAGAACTCTGAAATTACCAGCTGAGAGCACTCGAGACGCCGGCTAGAAGTAGCAGCAATTAGTTGCTAGTTGGAAAACGCTCATCGGCGCCCCTGTTGCCAACTTTATTTTGAGCAGCCTGCAATTGCAGCCTCAATAGTGCAATTTCTTCGCGCCGAATCTGCATTTCCTGGCGTCGTAGCTCGACTTCGTCGTTCCATTTCCTTTCAGCCAATTCAAGCTTCTTACTTTTGAAAGCGAACTCGCGGTCCCAGCGAAGCGCTTCCTCCTCGCCATTTTGCTTCATTAGCTTCCGTTGTTGCTCTAGTAGCGCGTTGGCTTCGTGCCGACTCATTACCTGCTGCTCCAAGTATGCTGCCAGTGATCCGTCTTGAGCAGCTTTAGTTGTCTTGCTGTTTTTGCGATTCGAAGTCCCCGAAGAACTACCCGAGGAACTGTCTATTGTCAAACCTGAAACGATCGCGCTTTCGGTATTGGGTGCACTCAATGAATCCTGCTTCGACTCCTCAGTAGCTGCATCTCGTTTCGTTCGACGCTTGACAGCCATTTCCCTCAGAATCGCACCCTGTGTCTGCAATCGATCCTCCTTGTCTTTCTTTTTCTGTTTCTTGTCGGTTTTTATCGCCTTCACGTCTCTAATTCGGTCCGATAGATCTTGTAGCAATTGCTTGTGCTCCTCGTAGTTTTCCGCTACTCCTGTCTTCTTGCGGTAGGCCTGATCGTTTTGTTTAAACTCATCCAGGAGCAGTGTAAACCGCTCTTGCACTGTTCTCTTGCTTAACTTCGGGTCTAATTTGAGGTGAACGCTCAGATTATCTGCCATGAGTTGATAGCGAGCTCCAATTTTGCCGTGGCCTCCTGCAAAAGGCTCGATGGCAAGCATCTCTTTAAGGAGCGCCAGATCTGCCTTCTGGTCAAAGAAGAACTTCCTTCGCCTCTTCTTGTCAGCTTTTGATGCGATCTCGTTCTACTTGTCCTCGTTTTCGTCGTCGTCATCAGACTTCTTGCTGAGCTCGTCAGGAGACTCATCACACGAACTTAAACTTTCCACATCAACACCAGCAAAGTCATCATATGTCTTGACACGTGAGTTTGGCTTTGATACCACCTTAGCCTGTGCTACGGGGGCGCTTGAGATTTGAGTAGCGACAGCGTCAGTAGACTCATCAGCAGTAGAGCTCGATCGCGAGCGCTTGCCAGCAGATCGACTGTTAGTCGGTGGCTTGAACTTGGCAGCTGCAGCACGACTGTATCCAGGCTTGTCATAGCGTGTCGTTTCCTCAACACTTGGCGCGCTAGTACTAGATGTTGATCTCGGCGTGGCTGGCTCAGTTACCAAGCCCTTGTAGCCCTTGGAGGTGTTTCCGGAGATCAGACCGACGCTTCTTCTTCTTTGACGAGTTGGCTTGCGACCCTTGGTAGCCACAACGCTTGTTTCTGATGGAGCGGAGTTGCCATCTGGAGCAATGGCACCAGAAACGATGCTGGCACAAGCGGGTGAGCATGCTCTGGAACCTAAATTACCATCGAGCACACTGTTCGAGCAGAAATGGTGAACGTAGTTGCCGCAGCTCGGAGCTGAGCACTCTTCTGCGACCAGCACTACATCATCAGCTGCTTCACAGTGCTTCTTTTCATCGATGTAGTAGGCACATGGGCCTCGTATCGTCTTCGACTCGCCAGCCATGTCCAGACAGCAACTTGTGCACCCCGCGCAAAAGTCCGTGCGCTTACCCCGTAGCGAGGGTGCTGGGTGTTGAATTGAACTCTGTAGAGTAGCTCTCAATACAGTTTGTTTAACTTTATTCTTAACTACCTATTCTCTAGACTTGTGCTCAGTCTGAGGCAGAAGAAGAAGTGAGCTTGTCCTCGGACTTCGTCCTCGGGCGGCATCTCTCCCTTCTGCCCTCAAATCCTCATCGCACTCCTGTTTGGTTGGCAGACAGCCTCTGTCTGCCGGTGCACTGTATCCCTAGTGCTCTTAGGATCTGTTTTACTCTAGTACTTACTATTACAATAATAAATGTAAGTCTTTATTTGTGCTGTCACATCAATCTGTTCAGTGAACAGATTGATGTGCTCAGCATCCTGCCCTCAGGTCGACAGCTCGCCGCCCTCGGGTAAGAGCCGTGCTGTCCAACACTCCCACTAAGTACTAGGGGTAAGTCCTAGATCCATAACTCCTAGCTTATGCCTTAGCTTTAGGAATTGTTTGGTCGGCAATGCCTTTGTCAAAATATCGGCAGCCATTTCAGTTGTAGCACAATAGGTAATCTTGAGACGACCATCCTCTACTAGATCTCTCGTAAATAGATACCGTATTTCGATATGCTTGTTTGCTTTGTGATTCCCTGGGTTTCTGACGATGCTGATGGCAGCATTGCTGTCACACCACACTTGCACCGGACCCTGTTGTGGAAATCCCATTTCTCCTAGAAGATGCCATAGCCACTCGCTTTCCTTGGCACCTTCGCTTAGTGCGATGAGTTCTGCCTCAGCAGTAGAGAGAGAAACTCCACCTTGTTTGCTACTACACCACGACACGCTGGTTCCAGCCATTTTAATCACATAGCCGGTAACTGCTTTGCGTTCTTTTGGTTGACACGCGAAGCTCGCGTCTGTGTACACTTCGTAAGTCACGTTGCTTTCATTTCCATTAAGCAGTAGACCGTACGTCGACGTCCCTTTCAAGTATTTGAGGACTCGCCTAGCCGCTTCCCAGTGCGTGCGGTTGTAGCACGATAGAAACTTGCTTAGTTCTCTCACCGCGTTGGCAATGTCAGGTCGTGTTCCACGAACCAGGTATTGGAGTGATCCAACTATGCCTCTGTAGTCAAAAGGCTGCGCTGCTATTTGCTCAGCGCTCATTTTCGCCTCAGCCTCTAGCGTCAACCCTGACAGTTGTGGGGTTAGTACAGGTGTGCTATCCACCATGTTGTACTTCGCTATCAGCTCAGCGATGTACTTGCGTTGTGAGATCATCATCACCCTCTGCTTTCTATTGCGGCGCACTTCCATCTTGAGGATGTAGTGGATGTCTCCTAGATCTTTCATTTTGAACCGTTTTGACAGTTCGGCTTTAAGTCGGTTAATGAGCTCCATGTCACGAGACATAATTGTGAGGTCATCGACATATACAACGACAATAAGCCATTCATCTCCCACTTTTTGCACGTAGATACAAAACTCTTTGTGGCAGCGAGCAAAACCCATCGATGTCAAGAAGGTATGAAGTACTCTATACCATATCCGAGGTGCCTGCTTTAACCCATATATGCTCTTTAGAAGTTCACAGACCAGATGTTCTTGGCCTCGCTTCGCAAACTCTTGAGGTTGTCTCATATAGATTTTCTGTTCCCCCTCAATGGTACCGTTTAAGAACGCAGTATGAACATCCATTTGATGGATGTGGCAATCCAGTATCGTTCCAATGGCTAACACCAAGCGAAGGGACTCAAACCGTGCTACCGGTGCATATACTTCGTCACAGTCAACTCCAAATTCTTGGTAGTTACCTTGCGCAACGAGGCGTGCTTTAAATCGCTCAACTGTACCGTCTGAGTTATATTTCACTACTAGCACCCAATGGCATGGTAGAGCCTTTCGGCCAGGTGGTAGAGCTACCAATCGCCAGGTTCCATTCTCAATGAGAGAGTCGTACTCTAACTCTAGGGCCTGTTTCCACTGTTCCTTATGGGGTCCACGCAGAGCTTCTCTGATAGTTCGTGGTATGGAGACTTTGTTGTTTAGAATATCTTCCGTGTTAGCTTTGTCCAGGATTGCCTGGAAGCACTGATAGTCCTGATACCGTTTCGGTCGTTTGGATTCTCGACGGGGTCGCTCTATGGGCTTTGGTCTTTCCAGTAACCCTGCGCTCCGTTTTGATTTGGACCCTCCCACTGCTCCAGTAGGATCCATTGGAGGCACAGTAGGTGTAACTCCCACTGCTTCAGCAGTCTCCTGCTCAGATGCAGTTTGCTGATGTCCCTCTGCTCCGGGTATCTCTCGCGGAGTAAATGGAGTTGTGCCCTCCGTGTTGGACTGGTTAAAGGCCCGATTTACAATGTTTGCTACACTGGTTGTGTCAAACAGCACATCTCGAGCGACAATGTGTTTGTTGTTAAGCCATCCCATAGTCGGTAGCCCTTGGCTTCTTCTGAGACACCTAAGAACCTGCACTTTAGAGCTCTAGCAGACAGTTTCTTGTCTTTGCGAAGTACAGCCGGTATGTGTGCAAAGCAGATACTACCCCACACAGGTAAGCCACTAATGTTGGGTGACTCTCCGTGCACCATTTCGTATGGCGTCTTTCCACCCAACCGGCTCATTGGGGTACGATTCTGAACATAGGTCATGTAGATCAGGGCCTCTGGCCACCATCTATGTTCCATCTCCGCATCTTTGAGCGCGCAGCGAACCTTGTCGAGTTTGCTTTGATGGTCACGCTCAGCCGCTCCGTTCTCTTCTGGGCTGTATGCATTTGATGTCTGAAAGACTATGCCCTTTTCCTTGCAGAATTCTTTGAACGCTGAGTTCACGAACTCTGTCCCACCATCGGAGCGAATTATTCTGATTGTGAACTTTCCATCACGCTCAAGTTGCAGTAGGAGCTCTCGGACCTTCTCGAACACTTCTTTCTTGTTCCGTAGAACGTATGTCCAGCGCCATGACGTGTTGTCGTCAATGATGCTCAAGAAGTACCTGATAGTGCCTGTGGTTCCGAAGACTCCCATTGTCTTCATCGGACCATTTGTGTCCATGTGTATCGTGCTGATCGGCTTTGTATCTCTTGAGCCCTTTGTATTGCGATACGACATCCGTCTCTTCTTCATTTCCGCGCATGTTGCGCAGAAGAATGGCACTTGCCTGAGATCAGATGCCTTGAGTGTAGGCATACCGGCCACCACTGATTTGGTCAACATTGCGATCACCTGCTCTTTGTTCAGGTGTCCCAACTTTACATGCCATTCCTTTAGGGCAGCCTCTACTTTTCCCACTCCTGGCAGTGCCAGTGGCTTACATGGTTGTGATTTTACAGCATGGCAGTGCGCTTGCCGTTCTTTTACTGTTTTAGATTGTATATAATACGCTCCGTTAATTGCCTTGGCCACAAAAACCAATTGGTTCTTATATAGGACAAATTTATAGTCGCCATTGGCTGACCCTATAATATGATACCCTCCCCTTTGTAGCCAGTATTCACTAAGTATATTCGACTTAGCATGCGGTACTAGTGCAATGTTCGTATACTGAAACGGTCGAATACCTCCCGGACCATGCAAATAAAGTTTCACAGTGCCCATGTGTGTATTTGTATGTTTAGACCCTTCTGCAAATGTAAACATGTAGCCGTTGTCGGGTCTCATCTCCACAAACCGGGATGCTTCGCTGGTTAAACCGAAACCGCATCCTGAATCAAGCACCCAACAGTCAGTGGTTAGAAGTGTTTCACTGTCAAGCAGAAAAGGATACAAAGACCTTACCGCTTGCTCCATGTCAACCGCCATCTTGTTGACACCTGCCGCCATGTCGGTAATCGCCCCATCTCCGGTGACGTCCCCAGCATTGACAGGCACTTCGTACGACGACATGGACTCGTCGGTGTCCATGGGCTCGGTGCCGTGCATATCTTCGTAGCCAGGCGTCATGGTGGTTGGTGGGCTGACAGGCGGTGGACTCATCGGAGCGCCTGGCTGCGCCGTCTCGCACGCGTTTACCGGTTTCGGTAGGCAGTCTTCTACCGGGATCTGCTTGCGAACCGGTTTCTTGGTCTTGACAACCGACTTGCCTTTCTCCTGTGGCTTTGACCAGCAAGTACCAACGCGTTTGCCTCGGCTCCAGATGTTCCTGCGCTTAACGCCCAGGCTCAAGTCGTACTTCATCTTGGGGCATGCGACAATATGATGGGGACCGACGTCATTCATGTCGTTGAATTCCCCAGCACAGTAGTGGCACGATTTATCCCCCACATTGTAGTGCACATCGTTGATAGGCGCGGCTTTTCGCTTGCCCAGTGCACTTGGCTTGGGTTTCGCTGCCCCGGCTTGTACATGGTTCACCGCGACACCTTTGCCCAGCGCCATGATTTGCGCCTTGCTCTTGTTGCCAAAGATGGCAACGAGTTTATGCTCAACCTTTTCGACAGTAAAGTCACCAGGCTGGAACTCGATCCCTGAGCCCCACAGGTGGCCAGGCAGAATTGCCAGGACTTTAACGAGCATGAGATGGGACGATATGATCTTCCCACCTAGATCTTCGATGCTGTTCCTGTTCGCTTGCTCACGAGCAACCTTAAGTTGCTGGAACAGGTGCGAAATGCTCCTGAAGTCAGAGTTGGCCACTCTCTCGAAATTCTGCACCAGCTCTACAACGCCGGACGCAGTGTTGAGACCGTAGCGTTTCTCAACGGCCCTCCAGATGACATGGACCGGCTCCCTCATGAGTCGTTCGTTAGCGAAGTTTCTTGGCAGCGTCTGGTTCAGAAGATCCTTGATGTAGGATTTCTGTCCCCTAACCAGCGCTTCTTGTAGCTCGTGAGCCTTCACACGTTCCGGCGTCTGCTCTCCTTCCAGAGGCGGGATTGTCGGCTGGGATTTGAGCAAATCCTCGTAACGCGTGAGAGGCTTCTCACGATTATGCTGGAGCTCAAAAATCGCGATGTCGTCGCTCTTGGCAGCCAGATGATCCACAAACTTGTCCTTCCAGCCAGCGAAAATGAGCCTTGTTCCCTTGGAACTGCAACCTGCTCATGTTGGACTCAGTGGGCTTGCTCATTCTACTTGAAATGTTGAATTGAAGTCTAGAGTAGCTCTCAATACAGTTTGTTTAACTTTATTCTTAACTACCTATTCTCTAGACTTGTGCTCAGTCTGAGGCAGAAGAAGAAGTGAGCTTGTCCTCGGACTTCGTCCTCGGGCGGCATCTCTCCCTTCTGCCCTCAAATCCTCATCGCACTCCTGTTTGGTTGGCAGACAGCCTCTGTCTGCCGGTGCACTGTATCCCTAGTGCTCTTAGGATCTGTTTTACTCTAGTACTTACTATTACAATAATAAATGTAAGTCTTTATTTGTGCTGTCACATCAATCTGTTCAGTGAACAGATGATGTGCTCAGCATCCTGCCCTCAGGTCGACAGCTCGCCGCCCTCGGGTAAGAGCCGTGCTGTCCAACACTGGGCACGGTTTTTTGGAGCCGAAAAACACGTCCGAAGAGGCGCGCCAGAAATAGATCGCCGAGCTACGTGAAAATGACTACGTGCTTTTGCAAAATCCGGGGTTTCTGAAAGGCTCTAATAGTTGTTGAACACGATAAATAAAACTTGCTATCCGCAGACATGAATTCCAGTGAATTGTTTTTTTTTTTTCAAAAAAAATCGGAGATGAAGGAACACGCAAAACAAAATCCCATAAGGCAATTACAGGAAAGCATAAAAACGAAGGAAGACCTTTTACTCATAACCGCGAAAGTAGCGTCGCGACGTTTCGTGAATCGATCGTCATGAGGGCACAGAATATGCGAGGACGTCTTCGACAGCAAGATATTGTGTTAGCTCCTGCCAGAGATCAAATTGCGAGAGCTCTTCGTGAAGCTCGACGGATTGGTATCTTGAGTCTACCGGCGAGGAATCTAACCGAGTTCCCGCCCCAAGTTTATCACTTAGAGGAACACCTCGAAAAGGTTTGCAAGATTAGATCCGACAGTATGATTTTTAGTGTAAACTAAAACACTTCTTTTGTTGTTGTTGTAAAACTTTAGGATGAGAAGAAATGGGAGTGCATTGACCTGGTCAGAATCGACTTGAGTCACAATGCAATTCCGTCCATATCCGATGAAATCGGTGGCCTGACGTCCATCACTTCAATTAAATTGACCAAGAATGCGATTCAAATTCTGCCAGAAGGTTTTTTCGAACTCCAGGCACTCACATATCTCGATTTGAGCCAGTAAGTGTCCTCTCTTTCTCTAAAATAAATTCCAGCGGCTTAAGCTGTTATTTGTTGGTATCTGTAGCAATCAACTTGAGCAAGACCTCTCCGAGAGCTTTGGTGCATTGGTTAGCTTAAAAGAGCTCGTCTTATCCGGCAACAAGCTCAGTCGATTGCCAAACTCCATTACTCTTCTTGAAAATCTTGAAGCGCTACATATCGAGGAAAACATGCTTACATCTCTGCCGGAACAAATTGGCAAGCTCCAGATATTACACGTTCTGAACGCACACTCAAACCAACTGACTGTTCTGCCATCATCATTTGGAGCGCTTCGGAATATGCAGAATCTTGACCTCAAGAAGAATCGTCTTGAGTCGATTGGAGAAGCATTCGCGATGCTTTCAAGGCTGAAATTCTTGGATTTACGGCAAAATAAGCTCGTTGTATTCCCTGTACTACCTGAAGGTGCAGCTCTGGATCAAGTTTTTCTCGGATACAACACCCTCGCGACTATCGATGAGACGTCCATATTGCGTGTGAAAGACTCTGTGACCGTGCTGGATATGCGAGACAACAAATTGGCAAATTTGCCTGCTAATGTCGCGTGTTTGTACCGGCTCAAAACGTTGGATGTGGCGAACAATGATCTGTCGGACTTGCCACCAGGTCTCGGCTACCTCAAACACCTTAATCACTTCATCGTGGATGGAAACCCTCTTCGAGCTATACGCCGATCAGTGACCAGTGCTGGATGTGAATCACTCAAGAAATATTTACGCACGCGGGGAGCTCCTCCCGTTGGTGTTGATGTCTTGGAAGAAGAGCGAGATGAATTGCAGATGGAACGAGAGCGATTGGCCCACGCAGATGAGGGTTCACCCCCTGCTTTGGAGTATACTTCCCAGTTCCGAGAGGCTGCAGCCTCAGGGACGATGATCCTCACGAACAATTCTCTCACACTTTTGCCCTCAGACTTGGTAGGCCAGGGTTCATTCAACTTTGAATCGACGCTGTTGCACTTGAATCTGTCGGCAAACAAGTTACAGTCGCTCCCAGCTGCGATCGGCGAGTTATTGCCTCTCAAGGTTCGTAACATTTCTTTTTTGCTTTACAAAAACTAATGATGTATTTCTTATCTTGATATTGAAGACTTTGACTGTCGAGGATAATGAGCTGCAGTCTCTCCATCCGTCTATCGCTGCATTGCCTCACCTTAAGCTATTACGTCTTCGGAAGAATAATCTTTCATCTGAGAGCATCAGTGAGTTTCTCGGGGACTCACCAGCGTTGGGGGATACGATTAAAGAACTGGATTTGCGCAACAACAGTCTCTCTCGTCTACCCGTGGAGGTCAGTCAATTACGATCGCTCGAAACACTGCTACTCAGCTTCAACAAGATCGAGACTCTCGATCGTTTCCCATGGTCGCAACTGGCGAATGTGAGTGTGATCAGCGTCTCGGACAACAAATTACGATCACTTGGAAGGATCTACGACGCTCCCCAGCTCGCATCGCTTTCGTTCGAGAACAACAACTTGACCAAAGTACCGTGCGAACTCGGCTTGTGTCCGCGTCTTCGCGCAATCTACATGAACGGCAACCCACAGCGTACAGTACGGGGCACAGTGATCGCAAAAGGTAGCGCCGAGATTCTGGCGTATCTGAAGAATAAACTCCCACCGAACACTGTGCTCTCGCCTCCCTCACCAGTAGCGATCTCGCGCGCAGTCAAGTCGGACCAAACTAGTCTTAAGAAGCCTTCAAGTGCCGCCTCGAACCGTGAAAATTTTGCAGCTCCTCGACTCTCCGACACTTATGCTGCCCAAGGCGGCGTCGCTGTGCCGGCTCCTGTTGCCCCGATCGAAAACTTTACTCCACCCAATGAAAATGCTGCCATTGAACTTGAGTTATCTAAGTTGTCGACGCAGATCGAACAGCTTGAGTTGCAGCTTGATTTCCACACTCTATCGGCTCCAAAACGCTTCGCACTCAAGAAAGAATGCGCTCCAAGAAGATCCGCGAGTCCCGCAAACTCCAGTGAATGATAATAAAAACACAAGAGATAACAAAAAGCCACAAAAACTTTATTACTTGCCTACATGAACCTGACGCATGGGTCGGTCAATAGTCCTCGAGCTGTTCGTTGCCTTACAGGGGTGTAGTGAGGTTGTTGACGGTAGAGTCCTGTGCCATTGGCGCTGGTTGCCGTCTCTTGTGATGGACATACTCGAATACAAAGCCAGCAAGTGCCACAGCAGCAATGACAATACCTACAATGATACTCCCGGACAGTCCCGAGTCGGCGTTTTCCTCTTGTGTAGATACGGAACCTGTAGAGCCTGCAACAGCGTCCTGCGAGGAATCCGTCGATCCTGTCGACACCGATGTCGACTCGTCCGAGCCCGTTCCAACGGAGAACTCACCTGTAGCCAATACACCACACTGGGACAGCGACAACTCGATGTCCTCGCCAGCGAGTTCGCTACTAAGTGGCGAGGCCAGTTCCACCACTACTGTTCCATTGGTCGTAGAGTTCACACTGCTGACTTCCACCGTCTCATCTTCCACTGTCACGTTCAGTTGGATACTTGAATAGGAGCAGAAAGTATCCGTCGTAAGCACCAGTTCCGAGCTGCCAGCGTTCAGCCCACTGGCGTCTGTGATGGTAAAGTTCGGCGCCGTCATGCTGCCCACACTCACGAGATTCGACTGTGTACTGCTGGCTACTGTGACGCCCACAATGATCGCTGTGGCGTCGCCAGTGCTGCCGTCACAGGGCAGCGACTGACTCAACGTCACTTTACCCGTACAGGCCTCGCCGTTGCAGCTAATGTCGGCCACCTGTGCGTCCTTCATCAACTCCGTTGTACACGTCGTGTCTGTGCCGGCTCCTCTGCAAATCTGCGCTGCGTTGCAGCTTGAAACGCTCGAAAATCTCGAGCCACTGACGTCCACCTCGGTTGCACATACTGAGACGCTGGCTGTGCCGCTATTCATCACTGCAGCCGCCATCGTCTCGAACGTGGCGATTGTTACGGTATCGCTATTTCCACCGGCTGTAAGTTGCGCTGTTAAAGTGTTGGTAACTCCATTATTTTGCAGTGCGATGGCCCAGTCCAGCGCCGACTCGAAGTTGACGGTAACGGCACAAGTGTCGGGTGTGCAGCCGTCGGCCGCCACGAGCGACGCGACGGTAGGTAGAGTCTCGTTCTTAGCGTCGCAGCTCGGGAGGGATGACACGCCGAAGTTTAAGGCGTACGTGCTGTTCTTGGAGCTGTCAAAGTTGCAAAAGTTCACGCTGACAGACGTCGCCCCGCCCGTGATTGTCGTCGCGGTGCCGTCCAGCATGCACGTGTTGCCGCCACAGTCCGCGCAGCTTGCGGCTGCATGTACAGAAGAGAAGAGACCTGCCGCGCCCGTGAGCGCCAGCAGCGTCTTCATGCTGAGCTACTACAGGTGGAGAAGAGCGCGGAGTGAGTGGCGCTTTTGCGTCGTCGCCGATACTGTCGCCGGGCCGTTTCCTGCGACGATTGAGAAATAGAGCGAGAATGGCGAAATCGCACAGCGGTTGGCTGAAAATGTAAATGCCACCTAAACCTCGACACTGTCCAGGGATTGGATTGGAATCCTTACTGAAAGCAAGTGAAAAACCAATCCAGTGACCCGTCGCTGCCTAGGGGACACGGAAAATCCGTTGCAGCAAACAAGTTGGAACGGCGAACAGCTCAGCTCAGTTCTGGTGATGATGGCCAGAGTTGCCTCGGTGACCGAGGCCCTGCACTGACAGTTAATGCATGTTGCTGACTTGCTTTGGAGCTCAGTTGCAATTGACAGCTTGCAGCCGAAGTTAGTGACTTTGGTGGGCTAATTAACCTGTAGCACTGGTGCTTCAGCAGACTGCTACTCGAAGAGGCATTGCTGAGCGTTGAGGTTAATGGAGCTAAGCTTCATAGCGCCGAAGATGGCGTCAATTTCCTAGCGGCAGGCTGCTGTGGCAGCCAACTGCTTCGGACCAGCTTCCTTAAAAGCAAGGGCCTCCTGGTGCAACTGTACCCAAATCTCGGTACACTTTCTTCAACACCCCGAAGAGAACAATTGCCAAGATGATCCGCGAGGTGTGGCGCATCGAACTGGGCGTGGGTGTGGGGCCCTTCCGTCTCGGCGCAAGCATCGCCGAGGTACTGCATGCTCTCAAGAGCCGCCTGCCTGTTCGCCCCTTTGAGGTCGCATATGACGCCACCGAGCCCTACAAGCGCGACGTGGTCGTAGATTCAGCTGAGGACGGACTCAAGGTGAGCAATGCACTCTTTAGCCTCTCTATCAATAATAACTGTGCTCTGACCTATATTCTTCCCGTTCGTCTTAGTTGCACTTCGATCCGGTGCGGCAGATACTTAAGGTCATCGAATTCTACGACGTGAACCGCGTAGCTCTGAAATTTGGACGCGTTGTGATCTTCGGCGGAGACATCTCCGCCACCTTCATGTCCGTCTATAACGTACGTAACCAAGCGATTTATGCTTCTGTAATTGTCGCAATGTGTGCGCTTTTTTACTTGGCTTGTGTTGGGGCTGAATACTGCAGCTATTCGGTCCTACATTCCCTGGTCACTACGACGCTTCTGAACAGGTTAGTTTCGTTATGTATTGTTGTTAATTGCACGAATCAACTCACATAAGACTTGTCCCTGATGGGGATATAGACCTACGTGTTAGGCTACGAAGGCGGATGTGTCAAATTCCCGATTCCTGCTGAGTACCGCAATTTGTACCAAAACGGCACAGACTTACCGATGGAGTTTCCGGTGTGTGCGCTTTAGAATCTGAGCATGTGAAAGCTTTGAGACTGACGTTCACGCTCGCTGTGGTGCAGAACGGCGCCACTCCAGCAGCTACGGGGTTCACCGTTTTTGTGGGTGGAGACTACCGATCTCTTGGTCTTCCTACGCCTACCAAAAAGTAAAGGTCACAGTATTGTGGCGTGTTATTAACAACTAAACGCTGATTATACTGTTTGTACAGGCACTATTTTGAAGAAGTTGAAGTTAATATTGGTGAAGAGCAAACATCGCTGGTTTTTACTGGCAGAAAGCAATGCATCCAGCTTGGGTGGTCGCCTCAGGTTTAGCAAGCAATCGATTACTGTATCCAACATTCAATATCTGACATTGTTTCGTGATCACAGGAAGTGATTAGCGAGCTGGGTGCCCCAGTGTCTGTCTTTCGTAAATCCGAAGATCCTAATGACGGGTACGTTCTGTTTAGCTACTTTAGAAAGCTACTTTACGAGATAGAAATGAACCTAACAAATTTGGTAACGTTATGCTACTGCCTCGAATATGCAGTGCTACAGTTGCTGGTGGACTTGTCGGTGACTATTTCCACAACTACCCGCACCTGGGACTTGACATCTTGTATGATTCGATGCATCGCGCGTCAAAAGTGATTCTAAAGACCAATGCGCTTGGGTGCGTTCTATGCTTCACAAATGTAAATTCGCTCCACTTTCCATTGACCGTATTGCTCATTCCAGTCATCCGGACTTCGGCGCCTACAACAAATGCAACTTCCGCCTCAGTTTCCAATCCTCAAGTGCACTGCAGAAGTCGGGGATTTCAAAGAGAACCAGCCAGGAAATCACTCCTCAAACACCGGTACATTCACTTGCTATGTAAGGCTAGTTTCGCCATCGCTCTAACGTAAATAATGTTGCTGTACTATTCACAGTGGAAGGATATCCGTTTGGTCTTTGGAGGCACATCAGACTTACGACCAATTGTCCATGACAACGGCTTGGGCCTCCACCCATTCGGATCAAGCTTGTGCTACTCACCAACACCAGGATGCATCTTCGAAGTGATGAAGAACGGCTTTATCGCAAGTGTTACTCTCACATCCTCCTGTTAGAGAATTCCTGTCGTTGTCATTTTCATGATAAGGCTGTTATCGCATTGGCCTCCTATCGACAGGATAGTTGCGTTGACGAATCTAATTTACATTCCAAAAAGCACAAGAAAGGCTGGATAAATGCTGCAAAGTCCAATTCTCCACTAATAACGCCGTTGGTCGTAAGGTCCACGAGGCTGCTGTCCCTGTTGCTGTCCATTGTAGAACGCTGGGGGCGGCGGAGGAGCACCGCGCGGCATTTGGTTGTATCGTGGTTGCTGAGGCTGACCATAAGGCACACTTGGTGGTGCCTGGGGCTGACCGTACGGTGCTCTTGGTGGCTGCGGTTGGCCGTAAGGTGCACTTGCTGCCTGCGCGTACTGCTGATACGGAGCGTGTGGAGGGTACGGAGGCAAGTTGTGCGCACTGTATTGCGGCGGCTGAGGCGGCTGGTAGTAGCCACGAGCAGGAACTTGTCCTTGCGATACAGGCACTCCGCTGTATGGAGGCATGGGAGGTTGAGGCACTCCGTTGCCTCGGGGAGACGTGTAGTTCGTGTTGCCGTACGCCACAGGTCTCACCCCACCAAAACCACCAGGCTGCGTGTATTTCGTCACTCCACCGTGCGGTTGTGTCTGCATCGCAGGCATAGGCGGCATCGGAGGCTGCTGGGTATAGCTGCGGCTCGAAGAATTCTGTCTCGCGTGATAGTCTGTAAAGTTTCCTCCACGTCCACCGCGTCCTCCGCGTCCACCACGATCTCCACGTCCGCCGTATGATTGTGCAGAGTTAGAGCCTTCATTCGGTGCGCCACCTCGATTGCGCTTGCGGTTGCCACGCTTGGCTGCAGCTTCCGCTTCGTCGTCGGAGAATTCAGTCTCATCAGCTTCTTCATCAAAAATATTCGAGGCGTCTGTGCCCTTGTCTTTGATCTCCTCTGGGACGATATATGTCGTGTGTTCGGTCGCGTAGTAGACTGCAGTATTCACCATAGCCTTCTCGGGCATTTTAGCGGCGTTCTCGAAGCGAATTAGGTACATAGGCATCAATACAGGACCAAATACCTCGTCCACACATCCAATTACGGTACGGTCCTCGAGACAAAGCACACTTCCTTCGTCCAGTGGCTTGGTGTTCGGGTTGGACTTGATTGTCAGCATGAGTCCGGGCACACTTACGTTCAAGATACTGCCGCACTGTGCAATGGGGCAGTCGGCCGTCAGTTCCACTTTGGGTTCGCGTACAGGAGCTGAGGCAACCTCATGCTCTGTGGTTAGTGGACCACCGGTCTTGTTTTCCTCCTTCTCCATCGCTGCCTCGATCTCTGCGCGCAGCTTGGCGGGCTCTTCGCCTTCAGCGTCGCTGTCTTCGCCCGAGCTCTCACCAGTTGCTTCCTTCTTAACAGGTTCTTCGACTGCTCCATTTTCAAGATTCTTTTCCCCCTTCTTCTCGACTGGAGCCTCGTCGTCGGAGCTGTCGCTATCACTGTCGCTGTCGTCAACCTTGTCCGTGACGGCAACCATCGGCGCCTTGGGGGCCTCGCTCACCGTCGCAGAGTTAGCGAATTGCGCGGTGACCGAGTGCAGCTCTTCATCAGCATATTGTGCGGCGACTGCCAGGTCTGATACCGGCGCACTGCTCTGCTGCGCGTCCATGGTGGTGACCAGATTGATTGGCAAGTCGAAGTCGCCTTCAGGGGCTCCAACCAAATTCCGCTTCGTTTGAAGTTCATATCGTACTTTATCGGAACAGCCAATCGCTTGTAAGGACAAGCTACACTCATAATATTACTTTATTGATTGGTCCAGCGTATTGCAAAATTTGCCAATACAGAAACCGCACTTTATACCGCTGAAAACCGCGGTTTGTTAAATCAGATGCGGGGAAGGGGAGAGCCAAAACGAACTTCGACATGCAGCAGCAATGGATCGCACAGCATTGCTTATCGAGTGCCAGCCTCGATGACGAATCTGAGTTCCAACGCTTGTGCATTCACTTTCATGGAGTCAACAACAGCCTCTGGTCATCGTGTTTGTTCTCGTAATCGCATCGAGCATGTACCGACAGTCAGCCTAAGACCACGATTCTCATTGGTTGAAAACATGTGGTGGGATTGTCCGACCACAACGGTATCCGCCTTCGGCCCTCTTCACTCTGCAATTCGCCAGATCCAGTACAAGCTTCAACCCAGAACCCCCGCTTCACCAACAAAGATGTCGTTCGAGCTGCCCAAGATTGCCTACGACTACAACGCTCTCGAGCCGTTCGTGGACACGGACACTATGAACATCCACCACACTAAGCACCACCAGGCTTACGTGAACAACATCAACAACTACATCTCGTCCGACAAGGGCACCGCCCTCAAGGGCAAGTCCATCCTTGAGGTGGTGCAGTCGGCCACTGAGGCGCCTGTGCGCAACAACGGTGGCGGTCACTACAACCACTCGCTCTTCTGGACGTGGATGACCTCGCCTGGCTCCACTAACACGGCCCCGCACGGCGCCCTTAAGACCCGCATCGAGGAGGACTTTGGCTCGCTCGACCAGATGAAGCAGGAGTTCAACGCTGCTGCGTCGTCGCGTTTCGGCTCCGGCTGGGCCTGGCTCGGTGTGAAGGCCGACGGTAAGCTGGCTATCACGTCCACGCCCAACCAGGACAACCCGCTGATGCCTGGTGTGGACCAGCCTCTGATCCCCATCCTCGGTCTGGACGTGTGGGAGCACGCTTACTACCTCAAGTACCAGAACCGTCGCCCTGAGTATATTTCGGCCTTCTGGAACGTGGCCAACTGGGACAAGGTCGTTGAGTACTACGACGAATTCGCCTCGAAGGGCAAGCCCGTGGACATCTGAAGTGGAGAGCAAGAGGTGGTAACGACGACGCACTCGTCGCTGTAAGTTGAGGGTGTGGAAGGCTCAAGTCGCAGTGCAGTGAAGCTTGCGTCACCGTTAAGCTTGTGACGTGTTTTGTTCACAATGGACGGATGTGCACGAGGACGTGAGGCGCTCTCGATTCCTCGGAGCTCTCCCACCATGTTAATCTCAATGAAATTCTTTGAATCTATCAAGTTTGCATTGCATTCATTGCATTGGCATTAAACGAGTTGTATTAGGCTCATGTTGGGGCAGTTGCCCCAGTGGACTTGGCCGCACCGCTGCTTGGTCTCGATGGAGCTGCATCAGTGGAGATCTTCTGGAGCTTGAAGACTAGTGGCACGATGTGAGGTGATCCCTTGTCGTCTACAGCTGCAGTAAGAAAACAAACGCAAAGGATAAGACATACAGATCTTTCGGTGGATCCTTTTGGACACGCAGACCAGTGGAAAGCACTTACCAACAGCCACCGCAGTGTATTGCGCTCGAGATTTCAGGATTGTGTTTGCTCGGGCATCACCAAGTTCGTCCAGTTTGAGTCTAGTGCCATGGTCGTCCGCGAGATCAACCAGAGCCGTGCCTGTTGCCAATTCTAGAATTAAACAATAGCTGGGTTAGCATCGACACCGATTTAATCCCAACCGACAGGATTTTGCTACCTTTCGCCAACTTGGAAGCTGTAGCGACCACTTGGAGCTGATACTCGGTTGTAGCTTTCTTGGCAGTGATCTCCGCTATAGTTTCATCGGCCGAGCCATTGGAATCTGCGTGGATCGTGGGCGTGATCGGTCGAGACGAAGCAGCCCCGCTTGATGGGCGCGAACTAGTACCTCCAAGATGTACTGAAGTCGACGATCCGTCTGTCGCTAATGGTATCGCTGCGCTGCGTGCCTGGGCAGCCTGTAGCGCTTTGTTAAGAGCATCTAGCTCGATGCCCAGCTGAATATATTTCTGCTTACAGAGATCCTCAATGTCCCTCGCGCAAGTATTTTTCACAAAACTCCTCAAGATCGCGCAGGACACATTGGCGTTGTACATCTTTGGCGCTGTTATATTATCTACTCGCGTCCATGCATACGTCAGCTGGACTGCAACATCCCATCCGAACATAGGAAGCACGCACTTACCAAAACCATATTTCACCCAGACGAAGGAGGCTTGTGTGGATGAAGGCATTATCAGGGCCGATTGAGCAGATGCAAAGAGTGCGGCTCTTCACTAGATCCCGGCGGGATCGATTTAGCATTACGCTTCTGTCGTTTACTAACGTTACTAGTATATTGTGGAGAGCAAACCTCCAATTGACGAGCAATGACATGCTCCATTTGTTGTGGCACTGGGGGAAGTAGTGCGGCTGGTAAAAGATATCCAGCTCATATCTCCGAGTTAGTCGAGAAAACCATCGTTTCTCTTCGCAATGATGGCATCGTTATTAAGTATTAAAAAGCATAATACTAAAATTTGTATTTCATCAATTATGAAGACTTTACATATGTCACTCTATGATTTCTGGAGAGGTTTGGGTATCTGAAAATGGTTTTTCAAAGGTTTGTCATAGAGTTGTACTTCCGCCGTAAAGATACGCATAGATCACTTCAACTTCGCCCTAAATAAAACGTGCACTCCAAAGCACAAACGCCGAAAACGACTCGCCGGGACACCACAAGGCTATGTATGACACTGCATTGCAGCACTTGCACAAGTTGCAGTGTGCATGCAAAGAGCATTGGCGTTGCTCTATAGCGAGGGGGTGGGTTCTCTCCAAACGTCAAAAGCGGCTTCATACACGAGAGCCGCTGGAGCGAGCGCCAGCACGCAGGGAGCCGGTATGCGATCGCAACGCGATTGGGAACAACCTCAGCTCGCTGTTGAGGCAACAACCCGACGGCGATCTATTGCTAAGCCTGAGCAATACATGTAGGTCACTGTTGAGTTGTTGCAATGGATGTTGAAGCAGCAAGCTCCATGCTGGTTTGCCTACCTCGTGATTCGAGCTCGACGCAAGTAGTGCTGAGCGCGGGAACGTGGTGTACCTCCTTTAGTAGGTGCAATACTCCTTCCCGTCCAACATCGCGCTCAAGATCGTAATGACCGTCATTGCAGCAAGCGTTGACGTGCGAAGTCCCCTGCGAAACGGCAAGAAGAGCCCACGTGGGACTGCAGAACTGAAGAAGAAATCGGACGGCTGGCTACGCGCGCGCGCGACGCTGCAACGAGCTGAACACGCGAGCTACTTTTTGACTGGAGTGCAGGCACCAGTCTCTGCTACGTTACAGCAATATTAGCATCGCTTGCAACTTTTCGCATGACTCAACCCGCGGAAAACTTGACTCTGAAAACCGTCGCGCGTAGCAGTGTCTATGCGTCCGTGTCAGGTCGTAGAAATCCGTCCACCCTACAAATGCCTACAGCCCGCATCGCTTTCAGCGACTTGGTGGTGGTTTGTCTGACCATTTTGCTTATCTCCTCACGGAGGTGACAGCTTTGGATAGCCTCGCCTTGAAGCATTTCCGACCCTGACCAATTCCAATCACCAACGGAGTCGTCGACGAACGCTATGGGATCGACTAAAGCTCCGTACACGAGTCCGTACGCACCGCTGGTGCTCACTACCAACGAGCGAAAGCGGTTGCGCCAGCTCGCTAAAAGCCTAATTGAGGTGAACGTCGACAGCTACGAAGAGTTTTTGTACGTGAACGAAGGTCACCTCCCGGAGCGCGAATGGAAGTTCTTCCGGCGCGACCAACAGGTCGAGACGTACGTACGCCGTCGCGACAAATACAATTTGAACGGCTTCGGTGCTCCGCAGAAGCTGCATGCATCTTCGGTCACCCGGACCACCACGAGTCTCAGTAGCACTCGTGGTGAGGAGTTCTCGTCGCTCAATGTGGCGGACATCCGCTCCATTGGCCAGCGGAGCGGCACGATCGAGGAAGCCGTGCACGGCGCCATGTGTCCCACCACGGAGATGATGCGCTACAACTCGGAGTATCTAGAAGACGGTATGGAGGACGGTTGTGTGCTAGCGATAATCGACAACGTGACGCAGGAGGACCCGTTCACGTCGCTCAGCATTCGCTGGGGGGTCACCGAAAACTCGCCCATTGTCCGCAAGGTCATCAAGAGCTACGACCACGTGTATCTGGACGCGACGGGCTTCACGCAACTCAGCAACGGTGAGCGCGTGGGATATCACTTGGTGCACTCGGTTGACTTCAAAGGCACAACGCCGCCGCTACAGCAGTATTTCCGCGGTCAAGTTGCTGCGATTGGATTCTGGAGACAAGTGGAGCCTGACGTCGTGCAGATCCACGGTCACGGGGTGTACGCGTTGCCGTTCGAGCGTGCTCGGAACCTCTTCGTCCCTGCTATTGCGACGTCCTTATCAAAGTCGATGATCCACGTCTTCTATGCGTCCCAGATGAAGAAACTGCGTTGTGCCATTCGTGAGCAGCGGATGCAAATGTTGTTCCGACCGCAATGGAGCGCGAACCACCCGTGCAGTGTCTGCAAGAAGAAGCGGACACTAAACAAGGGATCAAGTTGTGAACTGTGTGGTGAGCACGTGTGCAAGGTCTGCCGAATCACGCACAAGATGCCGACGGTGGAACTCGACAACAAAATGCACCACTCCAAGATGAGTTTGTGCCCATTCTGTATGTTGACCGTGACCAACAAGACCGCAGCAGCTACTGTGCGAGCTGAGGTTGGAGCTGGGCAATACGGCACGTTGCAATAGTCGACTAGTTACGAACCACTTCTCGAGAAATGTCTGTCCGATCGAAGGGCAGCACACCACCCACTACTAGTACTTATTAGCAGCTCTACTGACTGCGATGTGGATATTAACGAGGGATTTCAATGGAATGTTTGTCTATTATCGTTAAGAGAAAAAAAAAGCACAGATGAGCTACATGTAGACTTATCCAGCGACTATGGGAACCGGTCGTACCAACCCGCTGCAATCTCAGCACGAACCACCGCCGTTGTGTCCGACTTGACGACGCGGGCCATGCAGTAAGGACATACTTTCACCTTGGTCCAGTGTATCTTGTTGTCGAGCTCCACGGAGGCCATCTTATGAGTGACACGGCACACTGAGCACACGAGCTCTCCGCATAACTCACAGCTGTCGCTTTTGTGAATTATTCGCTTCTTGCTGCACACGCTGCACACACCACCTACACATGACCGAGAATACGGCAGAGCTTGAGTCTTTCGCTCCGTTAACGCCCAACGGAGCTTCTTCATGTGTGACGCGTAGAAGATATGCATTACCGACTTGGACATCGATGTCGTCACTACAGGCACGAAGATTGCGCGGGCTCGTTCGAACGGGAGTGCAAACACTCCGCGGCCATGGATCTCCACGATATTCGGAGCCATTTGTCTCCAGAATCCAATGGCAGCTACTTGACCGCGTGAATAGTCTGGAAGTGGAGGGGTGACGGACGGGAAGTCGACGGAGTGGAGAAGATGGAAAGCAACACGCTCACCATTGCTCAGATACGTGAAGCCTGTTGCCTCCAGGTAGATGTGATCATAGCTTTTTAGAATATTTCGGAGGACTGGCGGGTTCTCAGTCACCCTCCAGCGGATCGAGAGCGAGGTGAACGGCTCTTCTCGTGTGACGTTGTCGATGATCACTAATACGTTGCAGTCCTCGATACCGTCATGCACATACACAGACTTGTATCGCATGGTCTCCGTTGTGGGGCCCATAGCGCCGTAGATGGCGTCTTCGATAGTGCCATCTCTCGAACCGATGGAGCGAATGTCGGCTACATCTAGAGACAATAGTTCCTCACTGCGAGTGCTACTGGAGCTTGTGGTGCTGCTTGTATCTGAGGTACGACGGAACTTCTTGGTTGCTCCGAAGCCTCGAAGATTGTACTCCTCTCGACGACGCAGGTATGTTTCAACCTGTTCGTCACGACGGAAAAATTTCCACTCGGACTCAGGAAGTTTCCCATTGTTGTCGTAAAGGAACTCCTCGTACCCGTCCACGTTGACTTCAACGAGGTTCTTGGCGAGCTGCCGGAGCTGCTTTTTCTCGTTGTCACTTAGCACGATCGGGGGGTACGGACTCGTAAACGGAGCCTTCTTGGTACTGGAGACGAAGTTCTTAAATTCCATTATTGCGGGGTGCTGCTCGCTCGGTGGAATTCAAAGTGGCGCAAGTGCTGGTGCGGCATGGCAAGCTGTGCGACGGACGATAGTAACCTTCGTAGGACTTTCAGACGAGAAGCTCCTGACATCTTGCGATCCACGTCGTGGTCATACAGTAGGGATCGACCGTAGGCACGGACCGTGGTGCCCGGGACTCTACCGGAGACGACACCTATTACTGCGTAGGCCGGCAAGTAGCGGAAAACAGAAATGCAAGCAGCTCCAGCAATGGTGACTGCAGCTCGGACTAATAGGACAAGACAGTAGTGTGTATCAGAGCCTGCTGTCGTCTTGACTTGGCATAAGCGAGTGAGATCATCTGGATCTTTGGCAAAAACCTCACCCAGACCGTGGAAATATATTCCGAGCCCCACACCACTGCTTCTCGCCATCACTGACGCCTCACGAACGAAGTTGAGATCGCATAGGTGCACGTCTCGCGACTGCGGTGGTACCAATGCGGATTTATCTTCCACCGCACCTCCGCGTATCATTACTGCTGTCATCGTCCGGTGACTTGATCATGTAAAGTGGAGGTAATGGAGGCGGCGCTGCATTCCGAAACATCCTAAACTGCCGCTTGGAAACTGAGCGGCGTGTGGCTGCATGCTCCGCAACTTGCGGACCGCAAGTGTGAAGAAGAGGATGGTGTTTTGTGAAAAGGTGGCTGAAAGCAAGCTGGGGATCCATGCAACTTGCGTAACGGAGACCTTCTCGGCGGTCAATGGATGTCGCCGTGGGATGACCGCGCAAACTGTTGAAGGGAGCTGATAGACCTCTTCCACGTCAGCATTCAGAACCGTACAGAGCTGGTTGCTTCATCGTGGATGGAGCACTTCCACTCCTCGATTCTCTCCGCGCTGGTGACGCTGGATCATCATGAGCGGTTCGCTAGTCACGCTTGGCATTTACTGTGGCATTTTCGGTGCACTTCTCGCCTACTGCAACCTCATGCAGGTCGGGCTTAACATCGTGATCGCCACTGCGGTCGGCCTGTTTGTTCTCAGCTACGCGCTGCTGTTCGCTGGCTTCTGCTTTATCGGCCGTACGCTGGTGCGTTCGCCGCTGGAAGCTCCGATCGTCGCCAGCAAACTGCAGCTAAACATCTGCTCGACGATCGCAACGTACGTCCGTCGCGGCTTCAAACCGCTCTTCCCGCAATGGACACTCACGTTCGAGATCGCAGGAAACATGATGCGCTACATGTTTGAGGAGTTCGGGGACGTCATCGCCTTCGAGAACGCGGCGCTATTGCGTGAGCCTTTTGCCATGCACGGCCGACTGATCCTGAAATCCAACTGCCGACAGCACAACACGGTTCCGGAGAAGCTGGAGGCTAACGGTCTAGACCATGTGTGGCTCCGCGACGCTGATAAGAAGCTACAGCGCGTGGTGGTCATCCACTTCCACGGCGGAGGCTTCGCGATGTCACATCCATTGCAAGATGTGGAACTAGCGAACCAGACGCACACAATGCTCAAGCAGATTCTAAAGGAGAAATACCAGCTTGACGTGTCCGTGGACGTGCTATTAGCTAACTACCGCAAGAGCCCGGAGAACCCGTACCCGACACCAGACGACGACTGCCTCACGATGCACCAGTACGTCTTAAAACACGAAAACATCACTCCGAATCGCGTGCTCTTAAGTGGAGACAGCGCTGGCGCCAAGATGTCACTCTTTAACTGTATCCGGATGCGCGACTCGAACAACTCCGCACAGCTGCCGCTTGGATGTCTATTGTACTCTCCTAGTGTCGATTTTGAGGAGAAGGGAGGCGACGAGAAGACCCCGTTCTGCATCATGCCAGCCAAGTTCGTGGACAACGTGCACCAGACATACCTGGCCAAGGTGACGGACCCCGAGGAACGCTTGAAGGCGTCTCCTATCAACCGTGACCTCCGTAATCTGCCGCCTATGTTCGTGCAATACGGAACGCTGGAGCGCTTCTACGAACAAGGCAAACGGATCATCGCGAAGGCTAAGGAACAAGGCGTCACCAACTGGGAGGTAGATTTTTTGGTGAACATGCCCCACGATGTTGTCATGCTACCGACTGATGTAAGTCCTGCCGCGAGAGAGGGAATTCGTCACGGCTGTGAGTTCGCTGCTAAGCTTGTAGCTGAAGTCCTGGGTGCTGAACCCGAGCCGGAATGCTAGGTGGTTGCTAGGTAAACCAATGCAGTAGATCCCAGTCCAGAATCTTTAATGTAGACCAACCGATCCTGTGACCCATTTCACGTCAAGGTATTCAACTGGCGAAAGTTACAGAGCTCATGCGAATCTCGCCAGCTGTGTAAGCTCGGGCACTTCTCTACGCTTGGAAACAGTTCCCGTCGATAGGGACCGCCATCCTGACCTGGCAGTCGCTTGGCGAGGGCATCAATCTTCCCCAATCATTTCGCTATTTGCTGGATCCGCGACTACCAAAGCCATGAGTGGTGGTGTGGTTCATCTCGGCGTTCACGCTGCTCTCATCGGCGCCCTGATGGCGTACTTGGACGTGCTTCAATATGGAACGGCAATCCTCTTCTTCTCGATTGCTATCGGATACCTAGCGCTGTTCGCCGCGTTCTGCTATGCTGCATGGCCACTTGCCACTTCGTTCGTATTGGTCCCTTACATTGCTCTCAAGCTCCAGTTCAAGCTCGCCACGCTGCTGTTCGAAGCTGCTGTCCGCAGATTCAAGCCAACGTTCCCCGAATGGACCCTCGCCTACGAGCTCACCATTTCTATGATGCGCTTCATGTTCCTTGACTACGGACACATTATCGCAGACGTGAACGCTCAGCGTCTTCGCGGCCCATTCCAGCTCCACGGCAAGGCCATCTTGAAGTCCTGTTGCCGTAAGCATAACACGATCCCCGAGAAACTGGTGGCCAATGGGATGGAACATATGTGGCTCCGCGACCCGGAGAAGAAGGAACACCGCGTAGTTGTGATCCACTACCACGGAGGAGGCTACTGCATCTCGGACCCGCTCCAGGACGTGGAGCTGGCGAACCTGGAACACACGAAGCTTAAGGAGACCCTCAAGGAGAAATACGAGCTCGACGTGTCGGTCGATGTTCTGCTGGCCAACTACCGCATGGCCCCGGAGTTCCTGTACCCGACGTCTCTAAACGACTGCTTTGACATGTATAAGTACGTGCTGAAGCATGAAAATATCCTGCCCAACCATGTCGTGTTCAGCGGTGACAGTGCTGGTGCCGAGATGTCAATGACAAACTGTATGCGTCTCCGCAAAGAGAGTCCAGAGCTGCAGCCTGTTGCAGCGCTATGCTACTCACCGGTGGTAGATTTCAGCGAGACGGGCAATGACGAGAAGACGCCGTACTGCATCCTGTCCGCCAACTTCGCCGATAGCTGCCTGGCAACGTACTTGCGCAGCGTGACGGACCCGGATGAGCGTCGTCTGGTGTCTCCGATCAACCATAGTCTGCGTGATTTGCCTCCTATTTTCCTGCAGTGGGGTGACATGGAGCGGTTCTACGAGCAGGGCCTTCGTTTTAAGGCCAAGGCAGATGCTGAAGGCGTGGCGAACATGGAGGTGGATATCTTGAAGAACATGGTGCACGACCCAGTGATGCTCCCGACTGCGGTCAGCCCTGCGGCTGTAAAGGGCATTCGTAACGCGTGCGAGTTCGCGGCAAAGCACTTGGCTCCAGTTCTTCGTGCTAGTGACCCGGAGCCTGAGCCGTAATACAGCACCGTATCATTATGCTTGAGAACCCTAAAGTGAAAAATAAACTGTTCCAGGTTAGACATGCAATTCTTGAAGTGATTTGATCGAGAGTGATGGTCTTAAAGTTGAAGTTGCCTAACCGTTACATCGGTCAACGTAGCGGCTCCTACTGGTGGGACTCACTCACCCTGGTAAGCGATCTCTCAACTGCACACGAGCTTTCGTCTCCTACACGCACGCGAATGAAATGGGAAGGACGTTGCTGACATTAGCGTAGCGCTGTGTTTGCAGTTCAGTGCGGAAGGCAAGCGACTTCCCACGTGGCCAGAGTCGGTATTCACTACACTGTAGTGTTACGCTGGCCGGATAACATGTAGGTGTAGTCACTGGCTTCTACATGTAGTCAGATTTCTTCGAGTGTCGTCTGGACGCGCAGTGTTGAGCCCGCCTGTCGGGTTGGACATCACCGTGGCCCATGCAACACCTCTAGTTTCGACGTAGCAACTTGCAAAGCTTTCTCACTCGCAGCCATCCAGCGAGAGCACAACCAGTGGCGGAATGGGTGCGACCGAGCCCATCAAAGGTGATCGCGGCGCGAGTACGCCAGGAGAATTGCATGGCTACGTCGAGCCATTAAAGCCGGTGGTGGACGGACGGATGCGAGGCTTTGCAGCGCCGTCCGAAGTTTTGCTGGACGTCTTCCTTCACGGCAATCATCTCCAGTCTCTTGCTTTTGTAGAGTGCATCGAACAGCGTCGCTGCCGCAGGGCCATCTCGCAGTGACCAGCGTTTTGCTGGTCATGTGCCCGCCAGATGCAATCGGACGTTCATAGACTTCGGTGTGCAATTTGCGCCCAGTCTTTTGCAGTCTGATCGGAGACAGGCGGAAATCCAAACTCTTGCTCTCCTATTGGTCAAAACCCATGCATGGGTCCCACCTGACGATCGCGCCAGTCAATTGCCAATTTCTTTTACGGCAACACAACCGAAAAACGCTCCGAACTGATAACACGAATCGCGTCAAGTACTATGAGCTCGTACTTGCGTGGGTACGACGTCTACTATCCGCACTCGCATTTCCGCGAGCCTATCTCGGCGGGGCCACTGGCCTCCTACGACTATGACGACGATGACTTCTCTTCAGACTTTGATGTTGTTGAAAGGGATATCGACGCAGAGATCGAGGCAAGACTGCGCCATGAACCGCCTCGTGCACGACTCTCTCCTCCTCCACTTCCGCCTGCTCCTCGGACAGTGTCCCAACGGATGCTGCAGTCATTGCAGCAGCAGCGTGCGCAGAATCGAGCTGCTGCTTCGTTACCGCCGCGGCGACGTTCGTCTTCGAGAGTAGTTGAGCGAACCTTAGGCGACTCCATGTACGACTTGCGCTCGGTATTGAATGAGGACGCGTCGGCAGTCAGCACTGAGAGGCTGACAGATACGTTTGATACTCCGCTTTCTTCGCGCTCAGGGGGGTCCTCCTGCACCGACCGACTGGAAGCTCGAATTTCTAAGAGTTTCTTGGCGAGACGAGACAGCGGGCCGGGACTTGCCGCCGTGAACGAAGGGCAGGATGTGTCGATGTTGTATTCTGGTAGAAGGACGTATCCTGCCGAGTCACTGAGGAAGACTGAGCACGCGAGGATGTCAGATAACAGGACGACTCCACAGGAAACCAAAATGAAGGAGATTATGGAGAAGGAACGAGCCACGAGGGTGTTTAGATCTCAAGTGTCGTGTCCGGAGGTGCCAGCTGAACCGATAAAGGATAACGGAGTCAGATTCCATTTCAGAAGAGGATCGTCCGTGGACAACGATGTTTTGAACGGACGGATGGGTAGGTTGGCGTTGACGAATGGAACAGTTGATGGAGGCGCGGAGACATCGCTGGTGAGAGCGCAGCCTGTAAAGCGCGTGACGGATCCAGAGTACACAGCGCTGGCCTCGCAGCTGGCAGAGATCGAAGTTTTGGTGGATGGGATTGAGAACTACATGAAGACCCCGTCGTTCTCGACGTTGGCCGTGCGTGTTCTAGAGGAAATGGAGCTGCTCACTACCACTACACAGCAGATCCGCACAAACGGAACGACGTTGATTTTGGCGAATGTTGGCAAACACCAGAATGCTGACTTCACGCAAGCACTTCGACGTCTGGTGGCTAGAGCGGCTTCCGTTCAGAAGCGGATCAGCGCTCTCATGCACGTGGTCAAGAAGCTTGTGGTATAAACCTGTGGACGACTTGCCGCTCTGCTGGTGATTTCCCCCTTGCTTCTGGCACAGACCCATGCGTTCTATCCTCTGTGAAGCATTATTGACTGCTGCTCAAGTTGGAACAGGCTACTTGGCCTCACGGCTACTTACCTCACTTTTTATTCCGAGAGAGATTACCAACCGGACGGCCAAAATGGCTGCGATCGAAGCAGTTGTGTATCCTGTCGGTAGACGCTATCGCCTTGTAGTGTCGTCTTCGTGGTGTGTTTTATTGCGTCTCCATCGAGACTTTAGCTAAATATGAGTAGTACGATTATTCTCTTTTTCATTGATGGTCAAGAGGTGTTTCATTTCAAGCTGCTTGAGTAGCTTGGTAGATTCATGAGTTCGGATGACTTTTGATCTTGAACTAGCACACACAACTCAGCGATAAGCTCTTAGTCTTCAAAGATCAGTCTGAAGCATTCAAGACTTACCTCGTCGCCCTTCTGCATCTTTTTCGCGCTTGTAAATTCTAGCTAACTCTTCCACTTTACGCCGCCGTTGACTTTCAAGCTGTAGGAGCTGCATTTAAGTGTGCATCAGGGTCCTGTTATCCAAAAACTTGCCTAATAAACGGCACCTCATCGACAATCCGCCTCCGTTCGCTAGCTTCTGCGATCAGGTCGTCTGGATGACGAAGTCTAGTAAGGCAAAGACGTAAGGATCTTGGAAACTGAAGTATCGATATTAGAACATACTGGTATCTTTGCGCAACACGAGGAGCTGAATGCGCCATTGAAGATCGATTTGGCCCCTGTATGAACAAGTTTTGTCATCAGGTTAACGGATTCACTCTCCCTGCTTTTTACTTACTTTGAATTTTTGTAGTGGAGCTTTCAAAGGTGCCAGGGAGACCAACGACCGACTAGGCATCGCTGATAACATAGGGTCGGTGCCAGCATTGGTTGTATCATCGCCATCGCGTCGTGAAAGTCGTTCAGTGCCTTGCTCAGGAAGTTCACCATCAATTGTACGTGTAATAGACTCAGCAAAAAGATCTTTGGCGTCGGCTAGTTCCAAATCCAAATGTGCTAGGTCACCCTGGCTTCCACTAGAACCGAGAGAAATTCCAGGCGAGCAATTTATGGCCTCGAGTATCGTTTCGGAGTTGAATGGGATGACTTGTTCGGCCCGAGCAGGAAGCGCTACTTTTGTGGATTTCTTCGCACGTTTACCGCAATGAGTCTCACCTCCAGCATCAGACAGCTCGAACAGTGGCTTCGCTCTTTGAATTGCACTGCCAGGGGAGAAGATTGGCTTCGCCATCGGTAATGTTCTCAATACTTATCGCAAACTGTGAGTCTCGTAATGCATCGAAAATAGTCTTGTTGGCCCGATTTAATAAAACGCAAGAAATGATTGAAAACGCTAAGTGTGCTCCGCTAAGACGGCGAACCCCGCTCACATGCGGAAAGTCGGCCTGTTATGGGAGACAATTCAATCATTAGCTGCTGTGTCCAAGCAATCAGTAGTATAATATCTACCTCTTGGAGAGGAAACCAATTCGTTGAGAGGCTTGTAACACCGGTGTTTTCGGTCTCACAAGCCGAGTTCTGGATCCACCTAGTGGCTGCACTGATGGACGTGAAGTCCCCCCTGTGATCGCGCCATGTTAATATCTGGGGGGATGATGCTGCAAAATAGCACACTGCTTACCAATCGGAGGTCTCGCAAAACGATCGAACATGCCAACATTCGGTCTCTGAATTGTGCGCGGGGTTTCCTGTCCTCCCATGTTCGCCATCGAGTTCCGCATCGACGAAGAGGAAGCATCAACCGCATAGGGCCTCCCCATGGATCTCATTGAAGGACGGCTAAACTGGTTGGCTTGCGTGACGAGGGCCCCACCATCCTGTTGTTGCACGCTTAGTCCTCCTCCCATCGTGGAGCGTGTCGGTGACGGGAATTGCCTAGTGCTCTGCTGCGCTTTCAGAGTCTTGCACTAACGATAAGCACTGTTAGTGCCTCTCAGCCAATGTGATCCAATTACTCTCCTAGCGTTAACCATTTTTTCCCAGTTGCGGCATTTTCGCGATTTCTCCTTGTATGCCTGGATTTACGTAGTAAGCAATCTCACATGAGTGCCAATGTAAGCAATCTCTCACCTCCCGAAGCTCATCATTAGACGCTGTGAGTGCTTGCATTTTTGATTTTGTTTCGCGTAGTTCTGCTTCTAGCTGATCCGTGTAGTTTTTCAGCTGGATATACTTCTCTCCATGCTGAATTTGGAAAGCCTTCTGCTCCTCCGCTTTGCGACATCGTATTGTTCCGACTTAGGCACCACGCTTTCAGACACCTTTTAAGGTATCGACAAACCTTGTTGGCGCCTGATCTCTTCCTAAAACATGTCATGGATAAGAGTCACAGAGAAGTTTGGTTGAAAAACTCCACACGATTCTCACCTGCCTGCACAATACAACATCATTATAATCACGGCAAAACAACTCAGCACAGAATCTTTATAGCTACCTGAACGAATCTTGGGCCAGTTGAAACTGTAGGTAAACAAACTGTCAGCGTTTTCAGTTCGAGATCGTATCTCTATGCTATTGCTGAAAAATACGTACCAGGATAAAATCTACCAACAATGTTGATCAGCAATAAATTAAAACAACACAGTTCAATGGCGTTTGCCGTACCTAGGGCTTGCTGAAAGTGTTCTGAGCACAATTAACACCAATAATGAAGAGGAGTCCGTGTCTTCACAAAACCAGACCGTACCGAAGCAGGATGATGGATCCGCCATCATCTCTTCCCATATCGCCTACTCGATCCTCAATAAGATCAGAACCCCACCTTTACGCTTAACAAGCTCGGTAATGCAGCACCTCAGTCCTCTAATGAGAACCAGCAACGAATTAGTCACAGCTTCGCCGATATAAAAAGACCTTAACATACTTTGGAATCCGCTACGCCATGTATTGTGCTTCAAAACCTGTCAGTGCGATAAAGCATAGCAGCAACGACTCCATTTTACAAGCTTACGTCTCCGAGATCCCGCCACGCCTTCGCAAGTTCGAAGTGACAATACAATATCAGCCGACAAGGTCAAACTCCCGCAAGAAACGTACGCTTGGTTAAGATCTGTAAGCACAAAGATAATACGTGGATTATTAGTGCATTTGGCTATTCCGAAATGAATCATTTCCACCTACCGACGCTGCATGTAGGACACTGCAGCCTTCCCTGGCCGAAATGCTTATATGCGCATTTTTCCTGCACCGCAGTGTAAGGCCTTGCTCCAACTATTCAAAACACGCAGACACACCAACTCACGCAGAACAAATGCCCGCAGCTCGTCCGGTAGCACGTCTCGGCAGACTGCGCGTCGGGAAGGATCGGCTCCCAGCACGCGTTGCAACGCAGTTTCGGCCGGATGTGCGACGCAGAGAGCGAGACCGCGGCGTCCAAATCTCCCAGTGGTGACGCTGCTCGCCGCTGCCCGCGGTTGCGAACGCTCGACGTCTCACTCATGCGGCTGTCGTCGTCCATAACGTCTCGGAGAATGCGGGTGAGCGCGGAATCCAAAGAGTGAATGTCACTTCAACTTCGGTCATCAATTCAGCAATGAATTGCAGCTGCATATTATTGACAAAACGTGCATAAATTGACAAGCATCGGTGCCGCATGGCGGATGTCGCCGCTGAGCACGAGGTGAACGGGTGGCATGAGGTGGAGCAGACGCTAACGGCGCTTGAGCTGCCGCCGGTGCCACCTACTTCCGATCCGCAGCGACTTCTGGGCTATGTACTACACATTTTACCGCGCTTTACCGAGATGGAGATGTTGGCGACGCACCTCCGGTTGTACGCTTCGAGTCTGGAGCAAGACATGGAGCAGGTCAAAAGTCATGTTCGACTGCTGACCCGCGAGGCGGCGGGCGAGAGGGAGAAAAAGCAATTTCTGGAACGATATGCGGCGCAGGTGGTCAAGGAGCGCAACGACTTGCTGCACTCCCGAGGGTCCCTGAAGAAAAAGGCAGCGGGTGCGTCACACTTTGTGTGGCATAATTGTTGCAAGAAGAACACAAACCACGCTATGGACTTAGCCCCGTCGATTCTTGCCTTCCGAGGTGAAAAGCTGCAGGATGCAACTAAGCAGATCGAATCTCTGCAGGAAGAAGTGCGCAATCAGGAACTGCTGCGGATAGAGCTGGACTTCCTGCTCAAGAAGACGCAGCGTGAACATGACAGCAAAGCGGCGGCGGATCGTAAGCATATTCAGCAGTTGGAAAAGCAGATTCTACAACGCTCAGCACTGTATTCTAGCCTGGAGAGGAAGTTGTATGAAGTGGAGTTGGTGCTTGCTCAGCATGACAAGACGAAGGAAGAGGCGCTGAGTGTTGTAAGCAATCGCGTTAGGGAGTCCCTGTCTCGCAATGCTCAATTGGAGGGGGAAAACGCAAATTTGCAAGAGCAAGTGAGAGGCTTGAGTTTTGACCGTGATCGCCTAACGGAGCTGCTGGAAGAGACGACGGAATCCAAAGAATTATTTGCAGAACAAATTGACGACCTGACGGAGAAATGCCGATCGCTGGAGTCGGAGGTGGAGGCGTTGCGATCGGAGATTGATATGCTGCAGTCGAAGGACATTAATGATATCCGCTCGCAATATGCAGTCAGGATAGACAGACTGCAGAAGGATAATGCGGCTAGAGAGCAGAAGTTGCGTCAAGAGGTTGACCGCGTTAGACAGGAGTTGAAAAAACGAGATGAAGCGCTAGCGCAGACATTTGGTGTACAGCAATCAACTACGAGTGAGAGCTCGAGACATCCCCGTTCAGGTCAAACGAGTGGTTTGGGAAGCATTCCTCTTTCAGGCGACGATGCACAATGGAGTGACGGCATCTTTGACGATGATCGCCAATTTGAAAGCGACGAAGTGGGGTCCTCTTTGTCAAGAAGTCAATTGTCGGTGTCACACGGATCATTTGGGTCGTCGTCTTCTGCAGGGCGAGGTCATTTTAACCTCTCGAAGGAGGTAGGAGCTGCGAACACCAATTTCTCTGCGAAAAACGACCAAGGTCATGCGTCCCGTCAAAGCTACTCTAGTTCTAGCAAGCAAGGATACTCCAGGGAGCTTGATGCAGTGTCCAGAGACCTCAGTAAGTCGTCCAAAGAGCTTGAAGCAGAATCCCAACAAGATGACGCGGATATCGATGCACCAAACGAGCCGTTCGACTGGGAGACCTTTATCGACAGTGTGTCCGACATGTCTTCATTACCAAACGAACACCCAATGTCGACAATTCCGCAATCGATGGACTTCAGTACGAGCACTATTCACTTCGAAAATAGCGTGGCAAGAGTATCTGATTCTGAGTTAGCTGGTTCCAGAAAAGTTCGTGCAGACAGCTTTGAAGAAGAGCACCAGCAAAATAAGGAGGCAAGTTCCCATTCCTTTGATACGATTAAAGTTGCATCGCTCGCCAAATGTCGGAGTTTCAACGAACTGGAGTTTGGTGAGGACGAGGAAGAAAAAGAGTCCGAAAATCACGACACCCTGATGGATAATGAGAGCGAGCAACACGATGCGGACGGTGCAGTCGATAATAGTCGCATGGAGCATGGGCGACATGATGATCACGAAGGAAACATTACAGGAGAGCATGCGCAAAACGACTTTGCTCGAGATTTGTACCAAATGCTTAACGGACTCGAACAAAAACGGAAAGAGGAAGAGCAAAAAGCCTCACTGGCTGAGAAAGCCCTCTTAAAATTCCAGCAACTACAACAGGGTGTGCAGGCCTTGAATCTCTCTCCTGACTCTTGAGATGACGATAAGCCGGGCAACGCGCACGCTTGGCTTGATCGTTCTTCTTCTCGGAACTAAATAAGCGACGTCGACCCGATTGTGTCGCTAACCTTGTGATCAGACGGCTGCGGACGTGCTTCATACACGCACTCAACAACACCATGGCGCCACTGCGCAATAGGCAACAAGCAATTTAATCTCAGGTTTGATGCGTATCAGTCATTTCAGTGCTTCGAAAGCATCGCACCTTTTTGTTTTCTCCCTTGAGGCCAATATAATAGATCTTCGTTTCGTCGCCTCCATAGCTGTCCTCAATGAAAAGCGTCAAATTGCTAACACCTTGGAACTTGCGCACCCTACAGCAAACCATTTAGAAACGTTTGAATCTCTATCCTTACATGACAATAGGTTGACGTACTGAAGCGGATAGTCAATATTGGCCGTGTCATCCTCGACCAGATCCAGTTTCTGTTGCGCTGGCAGCTCATTGGCGTTGGAAAAGTCGATATCTTCTCGGTTCGTGAACCTGCACAACATCGCCACATTGATAAACACGTGAAAAAGAAAACTCTCTCATCAATCTGTTCAACAGCTTGAATGACGTACAGTTTCACTGCTTTGGGGTGAGTGCCGTCGCCTGCACTGCCCGAGATGCAGATGGACTTGATGCTCACGGCTTCCGTGAAGGGGATGAACAGGATCACCTCCGGGTCGTCTTCGTTGCTGGCCAGGAAACGCGATCGATCTTGGCGTTCGTGGAAGGGCTTGAACGGGTGGGCGGCGGCCTGGGGATCCAGCGCGTTGAGAACCCTCAACTTGCTGGTGTCGATGAACGGGTAGAGCGAGTCTCCGTTTGCATCCTCCACCTCGTCGTCATGGTCGTGGTTGTGGTCGTGGTTGTGGTCGTGGTCGTGGCCGCCCGCTGCCGCATGCTCGTCATGACAGTGTTGCATTTTCGTGCTGCTGGGTTGCTTCTTGCTGGGACTTGGCAAGATTGTTGAATGATAGCGGCGATTGGCTGAAATGGAGTGTCGATGCGTCTCGATCTCCGCTAATGGCAATGGGCTCTTCGGCGAGTGTGTCTCTCCAACGGACCTGAAGTTTGTGGCTGTGGATGGAGGTGATACCTTCACGATCGGTGTATTAGCTGACAGCGGGGAGGTAGTTGGATGGGGGAAAGCGTTCTACGGGGAGCGGCCTGACGAGCACAAGAATGTACCGGTGAAGCTGAATGTACCGGTGAAGCTGAATGTGCCCGAGCGGTGTAAGACTGTGGGTTGTGGCTCGAATCATGTGTTGGCGCTGACCGATTCAAGTCGCGTCATAGCGTGGGGCTGGAACAGATCTGGTCAAGTTGGAGCTGCTGCAATCGAAGACGTGGTGCGTGTTCCAACATTCGTAAAGTTCCCTATTGAGGATGTGGAGATTGTCGAAGTGGCTGCCGGAGGAATGCACTCGCTTGCAGTGGACTCAAGAGGTCGTGTCTGGGCTTGGGGATGCAATACGTATGGTCAGTTGGGCATTGACTTCGAGGTGAAGCAGCAGCATACTCCAATGCTCGTTGCATTACCTGCCGATGTCCGCGTCCAGCATGTCGCTGCAGGTTGGGCACACAGTGCATTGATCTCGACATCGGGCGAGGTTTTCACCTTCGGCTGGGGACTGTACAATCAACTCGGCCACGGCTCCACGCAGAATGAGCATCAACCGGTTCTTGTCGACGCTCTTCGAGGACTCGACAGCGATATCGTGCAGGTCGCGTGTGGCAATTGGCACACAGCAGGTAAGACCCTCATCTCTCTGCTGCCATTAACCTTCCCGTTTAACTTGAACGGTGACGTTCATTGCAGCGCTGACGGCATCTGGCGATCTGTACACGTGGGGCTGGGGAAAGGATAGCCAACTGGTGCGTTCTTGACGCAATTGATACTGCAGTACTACGCAGTGACTTAGCATAGTACGCTGATACTGTCGTGCCTATGATGCCAGGGCCCCGAAGCTTCCGTAGCGACTCAAGTGCTTCCTCGCGTAGTGAACGTATCAGCAAGATCAGAAACAACTGAAGATACCCAGGACGTCACAGACGTCGCGTGTGGCAACCGCTTCACGCTTGTGCTGTGTCAAGACGGATCTATCCAATGTTGGGGTCCTACATCGCCGCATCCAGGGTGGCTACCTCGAAGTACTCGCCTTGTCCTCAAGCTGGCGGCTGGCAACTCGCATGCCATCCTGCTGGAGAAGAAGAACCAAGACACAAAGGCTAAATGACAAATCGCTACCACGGCATGTTTAAGGCAACAAACGTCGAGAGCCATCCCACATAAGGAGGGAGTTTTCTACACGAGCCTACAGCTATTGCTACCTCATCTGGTCTCTGTAAAAATGGATAGCTGGAGACCGACAGCTCTTACATGACAGTGCAACCGCAGATACCGCAGGCGCCAGCAGACTCCTCGGCCTTCTTCTCGTGCTTCTTCTCCTTCTTCTTCTCCTCCTTGGCCACCTTCCTCTCCTCCTTGATCTTCTTCACCTTGGCCACACTGTCGTTCTTGTATCCCTCCACAGTGCTCGTCACCTTGGCCGTGAAGTCCTTGGCGTCCTCTACCGCGTGCCGCGTCTTGTCCTTGATCTTCTCGCTCGTGCTAGCGTTAGGCTTGGGCGCAGCGTTCCACACGACATGCTCCTCCTTCTTGGCGTGCTGCGGGTGGCTGGCGGCAGGCTTGGGCGGGTGTGGCTCCTGGCCAGGCACGGGGGCGGCGTTCCAAGGCGAGTCCGACATCGTAGCGAGATAGATTTAGAGTTCTTTGAAAGGCTGGAGAGTGATGTCCAAGGCGAATCTGCAAATGAGCCAAAAGATCGGGGGCCAAATCAAACTGATTCGGAAAAAATGATGTGGCAAACACGAATCCAGTCAATATTTCGGCCAATCAAGTATCCACTGATATATGATTTGACGGGTTGTTTATGTCTTTATAGAGGCTAAAATCCATGTTGAAGCCAGTCAGACCGTACATGTATCCAAGGCCATTGACGCCACGTCAGAGCAAATCTGGCTAAAAACGAGAATGGATCTTATTCTTATGGACGCGTCTCGCCTCGAGACGCATGAGGCGCCTCTAGAGCACGAGCGCTGCACTACGATCGCCGCATGACACGCTACCAAAGCAAAACGAAGCAAACTACATGACAACGCAGCTAGCGATTCCGCAGGCGCCACACGCGCCAGGTGCGTCGGCCGACTTGGCGGCGGCGGCCTCGACACTTGGAACCTTCTTGACCTTGACCACGCTGTCTACCTTGTAGCTGGACACACCATCGAATGCGTTCGCAATGGCCTTCTTGTCAATCTTGGCGTCCTCAACCACGGCCTCAGTAGCCACGACGACCTCCTTGACGGCCGATGCAGAACTCTCCTTGGTCTCAGCTACTGTCTCCTTCACGACAAACTCCTTCTGCGGCTCGGCAGCGGATTCCTTCACAGTCTCAATCTTTTCGACAACAACAGCCTTCACTTCCTCCTGCACCGGAGTTGTGTTCCATGCCGAAGACGCAGCCGGCACCTCCTTCTCGACAACAGCAACCGCTGCAACGGGGGCGGCTACTTCCTCGACAACTGCAGCGACTTCCTCCTTAACCGGCTTCACCACTGCAGGTTTTTCCACGACTTCCACGGGCGTCGTGTTCCAGGCACTGATTGCCGGGGTCTCTTCCACGACGGCAGGCTCCTCCACAACCGGCGCTGGTGTCTCCTTGACAGGCTCTTTAACGGTCTCAGCGACTTCTGCAACCTTCTCCGGCACAGGCGCAGCAGATTCCACTGCTTTATGCACCGGTGCAGACGTCCACGGGCTAGCAACAGGCGCTTCCTCCACCTTCTCCACAGGTTCCACCACTGGCTCAGTCACAACAGGTGTGGTCTCCTTCTGGAAAGGCTCCTCAGCAACCTTCTCAACCTCCTCCACTACAGGTTTGTTAACAGCAGGTTCTTCCTTCACAGGTGCCGTGGTCCAAGCGCTCACAGGCTCCTCCTGCACAAGTGTTGTTGTCCATGCGCTAGAAGTCGCAGCCTGCTCCTGTTCCTTCTCGCGCGGGACGACAACCTCTTCAACATGAGCAACCGTTTCCTCGACGGACTCCTTCACTGGCTCTTCAATAGCAGTGGATTCTTCAACAACTGGAGCTTCCTCCTCCACAGCGACCTCTTCAACTGCAGGCTCAGTCTCCTCGACAACAGGCTTGGGGGTCTCCTGAACAGGAGCCGTCGTCCACGCACTCGCAGCAGATTCCTCCTGCGCAGGAGCAGTCGTCCACGCACTCGACGTAATCTCCTCAACCTGCTCCTGAGTTTCCGGCTCCGCCTCCCTCTCTACGACTTCCTCACGCACTTCAGACACAACTTCCTTCTCAACGGGTGCAGCAACCTTCTCCACCACGGGCTGAGGTGTCTTCTCCGTGGGCTTCTCAACAGTCTCTTGCACCAGTTCCGAAGTCTCCGTCGCCGCCGATGTCCACGGTGACGTCTGCGCGATCTCCTCAGCCTGCACAGGCGCCGCCGTCCAGGCAGATGACGCGGGGGCTTCGTCTTTCTCAGGCTCGAAGGCTGACGAGAAAGCCGACGATACCGGCTCCTTGGCCGGCAGGTCCTTCGTCACGGCAGAACTGACGACATCCGGCTCAGGCTCCGTCTCGGCGGGAGGAGACTGCACCTCGGGGGACTTGAACGGGTTGCTGGTCTGGAAGGGGGACACAGCCCACGGGCTCGCGGTCTCGGGGCTGGTACTGGTGGCGGCGGGTGCCACGTTCCACGGGCTGCTGCCAGTGTCGTTGCTGTTCATACTGCTTGAAGATTTATACTTTTTCAAGAGCTTGTTCACTACAAAGGACATTCACGTGAGCGTCGGTCAGCAAGAGCAGGAATGTGGCGAGATATCCATTCTCCTAAACGGGCGTCAGCTGATGGGCATATCTGCCGCAGACATAAGCACTTGGAAACTGTATCGGGTGGATATATTTTTTCCTGTCCCGTTCCGTCTGCCCCGTTCGACTGCTCTATCTCGTGAAAGTGATGCGCATTGGGGCGCTTGTTGCAGAACTCACCTCGCTTGTCGCCTATGTGCCAGTCCGGATTGCTGCTCTTGATGCTGCTGGCAACGCGCTTGGAGCCGAATTCGGGATTGTTGGAAATGACCGAGTGGATCTCGGCCAAAACCTCGTGCTCCTCCGGCTGCCGCTTGTTCTCATCCATTTCAAACCAGTTCGTTCTTTTTTCAAAATTAGGATGAGCTGGGCAAAAAATCAGTTTGGGCGGCTGGGGGTTATATAGTGGGGTATACGGTACCTATCCTACATACTCATTGGAAGTTATTTTTGATTCCTACAGTTTTTGTAAGGCATCTTTAAATGATCTCGATTTCGAAGCAGCTGATTGGGTGATGCGGATGTAGTGTACAACAGCTGTCACTTCATAACGCCCGCTTCTGATTTTTGGCGGGATAAATTTGCTCCACCGCAGCTCCAGTGTCGCAGTATGACGAAAACCACCGCGTGGATAGCAAACGAGCTCTAAGGAAGTGCTATAACATTATGCACGTGCCTTCGCAACGCGTTATACATGTAGCTACAGCATCACCTAAACTACTCGACTGGGGTGGTTTTTGACGGGGTTTTCATAACAAGGGCTCTCCAATGTGATTGAAGCAATGCTATCGTACGCTCTCTTTGACGTTGAGATTCGCAGGATTGGCGCTGCAGGCTCTTTCTAAGTGCAAAATTTGTCGATGCCATTGCCAGATTTCCATGAGGTGACGTTTAGTTTAGTTTTCGTTTCGTTTCCGGATTTGCAAAATACTTGTGTCTGCGATCAAGTGTGACTATAAATCGAAACGGACGCCTCTCTGTCATGGCTTGTCTGGTTTAATTTGCCATTCTCCTCCAACAACCAGTGCTCGTACAAGTCCATCTTGAACCATGGGGCCCGATGGGAAGGTTATCCCAGCGATCAATCGCCATGTCAAAGGCAGCACCCCACTCCAGCGGAAATTCCGCCTCTTTCATCGGCTAGTCGTATTTGGTGCTGCTGTGTGGTATATTGTCATCTCCTTGATGGCGACCGATGCCGCGTTGGACATTTTAAAGGATCAAGCACACTACGATAGCGGTCTAATCCACTTTACGTCGCCGCTCATCGCCGGTTATGCTGGTACGAGCACGATCCGAAAGAGTCCTCTTGTGGTGGATGTTTTGGGAGACTCAACTAAACCGAGAAACTCTGGAACACTTTTTCTGGAATCGGAGTCCAATTCCTCGTTTACGCAGTGCTCGGCTGTCCTTGCTGGACATGGAGTGGACATTTACACGGATGAATTCCTGCGTTGGATGTTCGAGGTTTTTCAGAACAAGACGGCTTACAACATCTCGCTACTTGATGAAGTGGAGTTGGTACTGCCAGTTGTGGACTGCGAGCTGTCGATCATCCGCGGTGGAAGTGCTGCTGTCGCTAGAGTGAACTACCTTGCGCGTTATAAAAATGACACTGAGCGTGTTTTGTTACTTCCGACATCATTATCGATTCAAGACTATTATATCACGGAGCAATACGAACGCGGAGCAGCTTTATTGCTGAGTTTTGCGGTTGTTGAGGACATGGCAACTGAAGATCCGATACCTCACCATTTCGCAATTGCATTGGACTATCCGTATGAGTACAAACCAGACTTTGAAGTTTGCACATTCTACGAGTACACTTCAGAGGGGTTTTGGTCGTTTGAGACGATTCCTCGTGATTCTTTCATGAGACCTCCAAAGCCGCTGCTTACAGCGCGACAACTTGGATTTTATCTCGATAAAGAGACTTCGCAGGTAAACCAGATCAACTTCCATTGGATCCCAGCCGATGATCCAGCCACTGAGTTGGCAAATTGGACCTGGCGCGGCGATGCTGTTATTCGCGATAACTGGGCTTGGGTGCACATTATCCACCTGTTCTTTGCAATCGACGTGATGTTCCAGCTGAGTCTTCTCTTGTTCCTCGTGTACCGCAGCATTTTACAGAAGCATTTCTGGATTGGAGATGCATTTGCATCTATTTCAAATGCATTACTCTATCGTGGAATCTACGTGATCATTTCCAACCACGTGAACGGCTACTGGACTCTCACCGAATTCTGTCTTGCTCTGGCGGACCATATTAATGGAAGCTCAAACGTAAAGTATCGTCCAGCGCTGGTGCACGCCGATATGCTCACAATTTATCTCAATATCGTGAGTGTGCTCAGCTACGTGGTACGTGAGCGAATCGACCCGATTTTTGTGTTGGTTTGCTTCGAGATCGGATTCAACTCCCGAGAAGCCATGACAAAACTCTTCCCGTCGCTGAAACAAATGCTCATCGATTACTCTACCACTGAAGCCACCTATGGTCTAGTGGCGGTAGACGATTTCTTGTCCAAGTTGTCTCCAATGCGACTGTGGACTGTGCACCCGATCCACCAGAATGTGTGGCCGTTAATCACTGTCACTTTTGTGATCATCTACAGCACCATACTGATTATCTTGGTGTACGTGTTCGTGCGGAAACTCCTGCGCTACCGTTCCCCGAAATCTCAAACTGATATCAACGACATAAGCATATCCAGACGTCAAACCTCGAACTTATCCCTCCGCGATGACGCGGATGAACCTCAATTGATGCAGTTTGAGACAGCTACGGGATCAGTGCTGAAGAATCGCTTTGGCATCTTGTCGACTTACAAGAACTACACGTACATCAATGGCCGCAGGTTTGCATCAGGCGATGCCATTTACTGCAACGGATTCGTGGTTGCCAATGACAAATTTATCATTGCCACTGAAGATTTGATGTCTCTGCTTATCATGAAGATCACGCGTGCACGTTTCACGAACATCTACGTCTACACGATTAAAGAAGGCAGGGATGTTAACCAAACGGCTCGCCTCGTGTACCCGACAACGATTTCCTGGCATGATTTGGCAAAAGTAAGTGTCAGTCCGTTGTCGTGAATCTCTCAGATGCTTTTCAATATCATATATAGGTGCATTGATAGCAAAGAAAAGAAAATAATATGAATGCATTTTTTTCAGCGCCTATTTCGAGGACCTTATTGGTCTTTCTACGCTAGGATGTTAATGTTGAGGTGGAAGAGGTCGTTCCACGAGAACGTATTCGGGTACACGAGTCTAGCTGTGCGTTGGACAGTGTAACCATCAACTTCGTAGGCGTACACATTAATAAAGCGAGTCTGCACGGCCTTGATCATAGCGATGGTAAGTAGGTCTTCTGTAGCGACAAGATATTTGCCGTTGACGACCACGTAGCCTGAGCAGTAGACACCGTCTGGGGATGCAAACTTCAAGCCTTTGAAGAAAACATAATTCTTGTAGTCGGAGATAAGACCGTAGCGAGCCTGAAGCTCTGCACCCGTGGAGATCTCAAAGTTGGTAAGATTTCCCTTCTGAGCCATCGCAGCCCGCTCGTTCGTGGATCGATCGGCACTTCTGCCGGTGAGGCTTGGAGCTAGCGGGTCCGGGTAGATTTTCTTGTAGATTTTACGCACCACCACGTAAGAAATCAACGTTCCCGTGAGGATATACTTGGGGTAGAATGAGGCCACGATAAACTTGTTGTCAACGCTCGTGAGCTTGTCCGTTGTCCACAGCCTCATAGGCGACATTTCACGCTGCAAATCGGTGACTGTAGCAATTCCGAGACGATATTCCTTATCGGAGTAGGCGCGAACAGTCTTAAGCACTGCAGGTGCCATCTTCACAATTGGCTGGCGATTGTCGTGGATGGCCTCGTAGAGGAAAACACCGATAGTAGGATCGATTCTTTCTTTGAAAATGTGGCCTACAAGTCCAAATAGACTGAGAAACATCACCATGAGGTCTGCGTGTACAATTTCTGAATGAATCGGTACGAGTTGAGTGCCCGTGAGGTCATTGGCATTTGAGATGCAGAACTCGAGAAGTGTCCATTCTCCATTGACATACCAGGAGGCAAACACCAGGAGACCGCGAACCATGAGTGTGCTGTTCGATAAGGAGGCAAAGGAGTCGCCAATCCAAACTTTCCCGTCGCGTACATTCCGATACACTATGAGTGCTAGTACACTCAGAGAAAAAAGAGTTTGGATGCAGAAGACCAAATGAATACCATGAACCCAGGCCCAGGAGTCAAGAATGAGAGGCTGACCTCTCCATTCCCATCGGGAAATCGCTCGAGTTGGATTCGTCTTCTCCAAATTCCAGACAAGATTGCGGATGTTAGACTGCTCCGATTCAGCTCCAAGATAAAATCCACGGCGACGTGCGGTGAGTACTGTCTTAACTGGATTCACGACAACACTCTCTGGGATGCTAGTGAGGTTCCAGTAGCCATCCGTTGATATCCCTTCAAGCGTGTACACTTCGTAGAGCGGCTGATGCGTGAACGCATAGTCCAATCCAATCACAATGTACTGATCTAGCTTCGTTGCTTTCATATCACTTACAGCAAAGAGTGCAGTCACAATGGCAGGTCCCATTCGGTTTGCCTCTGGAATTCGATAATCTTGGATTGAGACGGACGTCGTAATGAGTTGGACGTTGGTCGGGTCACTTTTGTGGCGAACAACGTTGAAAACGTGCAGCAACGATGGGTCTCCCTTAACTAGAGGTGGTGAAGTGCAGTCGATAACAGGCACCACGAGCTCCAAGTCGGCTAGTTGCGTAAGGTTGTAGGAGCCTCTAGCGATCGCGCTCTCGAAGTTGGTACGGAGAAAGTCGCTACTGTAAATGTCAGCATCAAACAGCTCAACCCCCTCACATTTCTCGGTTGACGTAGTAGTCTCGTTCTCGAGAAAGAGAGCATAGTCACGAGAGGTTGTGTCTCCACCTAGGAAGTTCTTAACAAGTGGGCTATCACGAATCAAGCCGTCACCGAGATATCCAAGAATGAGTTTGGATTCCATGGTACCGAAGGATCTTGAATCGACTGGAGACCCCCTTAGTACTTGGAACGTGACAATGGTTGCTCTGAGGTAATTGGTCAAACACATGAGAGCTGCGCCGACGCCCATGATTCGCCTGATAAGGTTCACTAGCTGAGCTTGAGTAATTCGCTTCTTTTTTGGTTTCAACCCGCTACCCGACCTAAGTGCCGGTGCAGTGTTCAAGACGGTGGCACCTTTCGTGGGCGTCACATGCGCGCTCTGACCTCCCATTGCTTGCAGGTAGTTGTTGACGACTCAGGCGTGGTCTGTCTCGTGCTACTGGCCGGTTTTTCGTTTGCTGTATTTTTCACAAATGCTAAAGATGCGGAATGAGTTGTTAGAGCTGTTGGACAAGAAGTAGTATTACAGAATAGCCTCCTACAGGTGTAGACAAAGATTGAGAAGAATGGAGCGTATTTGTAGGAAGTCGAAACAGAACAACGCCCTTGACGCTCTAAAAATGGTTTTGACGCGGACATTTGATAATCCGAAGGGTTTTTAATCATTTTTATTGAAACTCCGAGTTGATTCTGTCTGTTAAGAAAGCACAATCACGTCTAGACGTGAGAGGTCAGACCACTTGATAGTTGTTGGGTACACGAGGCGCGAAGTTTCCTTTACAGCTCGTCCGTTGATGATTTCGTACACAAAGATATTGGTGAAGCGCACATGCGTTATCTTCATCAGTATCAACGGAATCAGGTCTTGGGTTGCGACGAGGAACTTGTTGTTGGCAACCAGGAAGCCATTGCCGTAAACTGCATCGATAGTCGCCAATACCTGGTTGTCGCGCATGGTATAGTTTTCGTAGCTGGATATGATGCCGTAGCGCTTCCTCAGTGCGGCACCGGTAGCTGCTTCGAACGATGTGAGGTCGATCTGCTGCAGACCGTCAACTTTATACCTACTTGATCGAGAACCGCCATTCTCCCCACCCAGGTCCTCCCACCGAGCGATTTTTCTGGCTACTATATAGGCCACAATGAAGATCATGGGGCTAAAGATTGAGAGGGTGATCGACGATACGACGCGGAATCGGTTTTCTGGAATGCCGTATGAAGTGAGCAATTCCATCGGTGACAAAGCTGCAAGACCAGGTCTCACATTCAACAGGCCTCGAGTGGTGTCGGCAATGGCAAATTCTGCAATGTTCGCTCGCAATGGTGGAAAAAAATCGGCCAACTCGACACGGTATCCCCACCCCAGCTCAAATGTCGCGAATGCCAATAGCGGATCTATACGTTCGCGAGCTAGGTAGCTCAAGATACTCACTAAATTCATGTACACGGCCAGCAAGTCGGCTTGTACCAGCTCCGGTTTATAGAAGATAACATGCTGATCCGTAATGGTGTCACCAATGGAAATGGTCATCTTCGTGATTGTCCAGAGTCCGTTCAATTGATTGCACACCAGAACGATTAGACCTCGATACATGAGCATGCTTGAGATCGTGGAAAACGCATCTCCGACCCAAATGTGACCCATTCGGAAACGTCGGTAGATCACAAATGTCAATACACTCAGATCGAAGATGACGTTGATGGCAAAGATGCCATGGATAGCGTGAGCCCAGGCCCATGAATCGTGAAGCACAGCTCTGCTGTACCACCTCCACTCACGCAGCTCTATTGCTGGGTCACGGGAGAGATCCCAGTGCGCTGTCTCGATATTCGACTGTGACGTGACGTCGCCTTTATATCGTCCAAAACGACGAGCCATTCGTACTTCTTTGGCTGGATCGTCGGTTCGCTTGTTTGGCAAAGTTTGTAGAATCCAATAGTTATCTCCATCAACACCTTTCAACTCCGAGTATTCGAATTCAGGCTCAGCAACGTAAGGATAGTTAAGCGCGACGGCGATGTGGTGAGGTAATGGAGTGGTTCGCATGTCTTCGATGGGTGTGACTAGAAGCACCATCCCTGGTCCCCGCTGGAACTGTTGTGCCACCTCGTAATCTTGAGCTGAGAGCATCGTCGATAGAAGCACCGTTTTAGTCGGATCACTCTTTGGACGTGTGAGGTAGTACACGCGGGCAACAGTCTTGTCACCTGATACCAGCAGATCAAACGTGCAATCCACTACGGGTACGACTAACTCGAGCTCCTTGACGTATGACAAGTTGTACGTCGCGTACATTTGCATCCTTGAGAAGATGAAGCGCAGAAACTCGTTGCTGTAGATTCTGGAATTAAAATGTGCCACTTCCGAACAGCTTGTAAACGAGTGTGCAGTTGCAGTTTCGAGGTAAAGTGAATCATTTCGTGGAGCCAGGGATCCTTCAAGGACTTCTTGAACTAGAGGACTCTTTTGAATTGTTGCGGTGCCAATGTAGTCGACGATGAGGTTGGAGTAGTGGGTCTCGATTGGCAAGTCGTGTGACACAACTCCGCGGAGAACTAGGAGAGCCGTGCCGAATGACTGCATGGATACCATCATGTAGAGCACCGCAGTCACGAAAACTGCAGTACGGTACAAGAGGAACCCGATTCGTTGCAGTGTCAGCGCTTCGCGCTTCTCTACAAACTTTCCCGCTGGGTGATACGACAAACGAGGTTGTTGACCCGAAAGAGTCTTAGATGACGGCATCTTGTCCAAAGAGATATCATCAACTGGGAATTCGTCCTCTCCTGAGCCATCGGGAGACGAGAAATCACCCATTGAAATGGGTTTCCTCGTCACTCGTGCAAGTTTAAAAGTGTCAGGAATCACTGAAGCGGTCCAAAATGGACTCGATTTCTCCGGATTCTATGAGTCGTTTCAAGACCAAATAAAGCTTTCAAGATGTAGTAGTAAAGTGGCCTTCTATTTGATTTTTATGTTTCGCTATAAAGCTTTCAAGGCGTACGTGCTGCTCACAAAGGCAAAGGTTAACTTACAGTAAGTTAGGTGCATATATGCAGCTTCGGCCGATAACACCTACAGATGAGGATGTTCCATTCCACTTAGCAGCGAGCGTATCCGGAGAAGCCAGCCTCCCAAATGATGTAAAAACAAATAGATATTGTAGAATGGAACTTTTCGCCTTCTACTCCCACACACATACGCTTCTAAGACTCTGGATATTTATATCCAGAGTCCGGGTGCGGATTATTTTTATGATACTTTCGGCTACTTTCTAAGACGTGTCATTTTGACTCTTTTTTATGACGGTGAGGCGTTTTTCTATGACAAGCGGCTATATTGTATGACACGCGCTAAATATACATTGATATTCGGCTTAATTGTATGAGCAAGGGCTCTTTTGTATGACAGTGTTTCCATGCAAGTTTTTTATTTTATTTTTGGGTTTGTTTTATAGTTTTTCTGTTCGTACTTTTACGTAATCAAGGATGCATTATCCATGCAGGCGTAGGGTAACGCTAGTTGGGCACTAAGTTGTGCCCCATCTGGAACGAGTAGTTGATGGTCCTGGCCAGCTCTTCAATTTGCATCGGTGGCGCTGCTTCCAGTTCTTCGTACTCTATGTCCCAGTGCCATTTACCGCCGCGCATGAAAGGAGGTTTGATTTTGCCAATGTAGTTACGCTGTGTTTCCTCGCCTTCCTCATCGCTGGAAGTTTGCACTGTCAAAATACTCCAGTTAATCACACTGGTCGGCTTTTCCGTCAATCGCTTAACCAAAGCATTGACCGAATACTGAGATTTTCTTGTGCCGTCGCGATTGAGGCACCGTGTCTTCTTCCGTGATCGCCCTGGAGGTTTACGGGCCGGGAAAGTACGAAGCATCATCTTCAAGTCCAGCGAATCAACGAGATGTAGAGTCGCCAGGATATGCGCGCACAGCCACCCAGTTTGGTAGAACTCCTTGTCGTCACATTTGTACTTGTTCCGGATGCGTTCGATTTCGTGAACACTCCATGACGGAGAGTCCCAATCATGGCGGACTGGAAACTGTGCCATAACCTTTACAGCGTGGAGCGGCAAATACTTCAGCGGGATATTTTCCACGGTCTCATTTCGCCTAAGAACCCCCTCAAGGGAGCCTTTGTAGGTCCGAGTTTTAAACTCATCTACCTTGACTCCAAGGTTCAGTGCCAATATCCATAGCACTTGCTATCGATATTTTGGGCAGAGTCCCTGCCAAAACGTGACCTGTTGCGGCCCGAAGATGGCTTACTGCAGTAGCCTTTATATTGGCACTGAACCTATTCGGCATTTCGCATCAGGACCTGTACATTCTGACCTCCTCAAGGACTGCTCAGACTATCGCAGAAAACTACGAAGAATGTGTGTTTCGTCGATTTGGCGCAAGTGAGGCGATCAGACATGACCGAGAACCTGGCTTCATGTCCGATTTCTTCAGATCGTTCAACAAGATCGTCGGCCAAAAACAGCGAGCGACTATGGCGTATCGACCTCAAGCCAACGGCACAGCAGAGCGTATGGTACAGATATTGACACGTGCTCTCAAGATGTACGTGGCTGATGTAAACCAGAAGGATTGGGATGAATACGCGGAACGGTTGACTTTCGCACTCAATACGGCTCAAGATCTTGTTCGTGGTGACACGCCATTCTACTTAGTTCATGGATGGGATCCTCGATCCACGTTGGAAGCTGCGATTCCGCTAGGATCGACTCGACGCCGAGATCGAGAACCCCGCCGGTGGCATTATCATATCCAGAAACACTACCAGCAGGCTCGCGAACAGGTTAATGAACGTCTGCGCGAAGCTATTCAAGAGAGAGCAGATCGGCATAACGAGGCGACACGACCACACAAGATCGGCTAACGACCGCTCTGCTACTGTGCACAGATGATAACCACCACCCGAAACACAAAGTAAATAGCCCCCGTGAACTCAGCAACATTGATCGGTACTCTTCAACGCTGACCCCTACGTAGTGCGAGACGATAACGCCCTTGGAGTCAAGGTAGATAGGTTTAGAACTCGGACCTACAAAGGCTCCCTTGAGGGGGTTCTTAGGCGAAGTGAGACCGTGGAAAATATCCCGGTGCATCGGATTCGGTCTCAGTCTCGTATTCGTCATATGATGAGTCGCCAGAGTTATTTGAGTCTTCATGCGTTGATTGCGATCCATCCGGGTAGTTATCCAGTCGACGCGCTTCATCATCCAGCTCTTGCACCCGCTGCACGTGAAAGGCAAGGAGTCGCTCAACGACCTCGAGATGGCGGCGCATAGCAATGAGAAGCGAGATGCAGTGGTTCACTGAAGCTTGGAGCCGATCAATGGGGTTCATCGTTGAAATTTGCGAAGTGAGCTGCAATGTGCTTCCATTGTGTAGCATAACTTTTAGCTCAATATACCTTAACCTGGGTTAATAACATTCATTTTTTTTCAAACGACGACTGTTGCTTGAAGTTCCTACGTAAATAACGACTACCATCGACTTTCTTCAGTTGCTGGATGTACCTCAATTTTTGATCTGTAACTATGTGGTTTGTGGGGAAAGACCCTGCCTTCCCTTAATTCATTTCTGACGATATCATATAAAGTAGCCTCGCCATAATTGAAAACTCAAATTAAATACGGAAATCATAGAAAGTAGCCGCACATAATACAATAAGGCAGTCGTTACGTCCACCAACTATCTCGCCAGAACGTGTATGAAAATGTCAAAATATGTATGCGGTATTGGAAAATTAATCCCGGTATCGACGACGGTATAAGGAATGTCTACCAGTTGGTTTTTCCTACAATTGGTGAGACCCAAGCGCATCCCAACTTTGCCAACTCGTGTACATGATCCGAACCAACTTTATACAAGACTAAAATTTTGATATCCAGAGACGACTCTGAAAGTAAATCTCGTCATTAACGGCCAAGGCACGATTGGCATGAATTTTTCGCAGCAAACCAGTGGCTCGGGAGAGAAACTAGACGCCATCTTCACCCCCTCCGGTGGTGGCGGCGTGCTCGCCAACTTGGAGGCCTGGGTATAGCAGGCAGATTCGATCTAGCGCCAAGGTTATCGATTCAGACGTCGCTAAGCGATGAACGGTAAGTACAAAAACTGATAACGCAAGTTATGAATTCATTCATTCATTGAGGTTAACGCCCATGCCGTAAAAGACCTAGCAAAGGATCTTGTATCGACACAACTCCCCCATCGATAAGTGAGTGTTGAGCAAAAGCTCCACTCCCAAACTTGTCTGTCAGCATGAAACTGATGAGGCGGTATCTGACAGCACACCAACAAAGTTGTGTATTAGTTGGTTTCACCAATTCTCATACAACTTAAACCAACTGCGCACCAACTGCACCAACAAAACGAAATTGTCCAACCACTCACCTGTTGATATTGGTGCCGTGCGTAGCATCAACGCACATGACCTCAAGAAACAAACGAGTCATTCTTCTCATATGACAAGTCTGGAAAGTGACGCAACTTGTCAGCTTAGTGTCGACGTCCCGGAAAACGTTGACCACATTGCCAGGGCCTTCGCTGAAATCCTGCATCAGCTCGGTCACTCGGATGTTGTCGTCAGGCAAAGTATACGAATCGCGCCGCATCTCGCAATCAAGTTGTTCACATCCTGCAAGTGAATCGGCTTCTCGGACACCTCTTTCAAGTAATGGAGGATCTTCTTCCTCTTGGTACCTCCTAACGAAAGGCAAGAACAGTCAGTATCCAGATAAAACAAATCACACACCTAATAAATGTACCCTGCCACATTGTACGCACAACACTGCGCGTTGCAGGAGATGTAACCTTTCGCACCTCGGGATACGTGTTGAACACGTTGGCATCAACTTGGTGAGAGTGCGTATGCACTTGAGTCTTTCCACCCACTCGGAACACCCCACCCGCATCTTGAAAGAGCAATGCGTTGAGCTTAGCCGGGCACTCTATGCGACGGGTAGTATGATTCGTACGAGTCCCAGCCCTCCGTGATTGGAATGAGCCACCGTGCGTGCACACCCATGACTTTGTATAGTTGCCCAGCGATTCATCCCATAGAATTGGCTGGGATCCGGACTGTTGGGCTTGACGAGAACGGCTGCGGTTCCTGTCTGTAATAGAGTTGCTCGTTCTTAGCTTGTACAGCTGGAACGTATTCCGCTGATATTTAAACAGAGCAGAATAAGACACGGCATGAGCCACAGGATAAAACATAGCACCATACACAGTATAAGTCATGATGTGCACGGATTCTTACTGGGCAAAGGTCTCCTCCATGGCTTCCCACGAGTCAAACACTCCGCCGAAGGGGATGCAAGTAGTGACATCTTCAGACGCGGCCTCGTCGCCAGAAGATGCACTGGAAACAGTCGCAGACGGGGGGGGGGGAGGTGGCAGCAGAGCTCTTGTCGCTTCTTCCGGGCTGGCGTGGGCTGGTACTTGCCCCGTCCTCTGCTCTGTTAGTGCCAGGGCGGCCTTCTCTCGAGGACTCGACAGCAGCCCTAGCATCGGCCTGCCCCGCGTCCCCTCTACCTCTGCTGCGGGCGCCTGGTGTAAGAGCGCGCCCCGCTATCTTGGTCTTCTTATTGGCTGTCTTCTTGCCTGCCGCCACTTTGGGGAGGGGGGAAATGAAAGGCCAGCACGCGTGGCATCGAAATTAAAAAAATCGAAATAAATAAAAAAAAGTGAAGTTTGTCGGCGCTTGTTTTTGCTGTACTTGTTTTGGCGAAATAGTTGGTGGATCTAAGCACTTCCATACAATAAAGCCTACGTCTTAGAAAAAAAAACCTCTAGTCTTAGAAAGTAGCCGGAAACGTCATAAAAATAAGCTTTTCCCCAGAGTCCAGAGTTCTTAGCGGGACCGCAGAACGTCAAATATCCTGTATAAAAGAGTAATTGGACACGCTTGTAATATCGAAAAGTGCATTCCTTACAGTGGACAAGATAATACGACGGAATCTGTTATGAGCCGTGGAATCTTATCCCACACAGTGAATGTTGACCCAGTCGGCCAAGAACACCATTCGTGCAACATAGGTACGGAGACTGTTGTGGTTTGACTAATGCTTTTGGAGGACTATGTGAGAACTAACACGCTAGCTTTTAAAGACGTTTTGACAAGAGTCCTTTGCATGTTGGATCGTGTTTTAGTGGAGCATACATTGGCTAGAGCAATACTCGTACCAACTCTTGAAAATTAAAACTGCAGTGTAGCGTACGCAAACACGAAGAGTAAATAATGACACATGCATGCAAGATGCTTGACCAAGTGGTCACAACGACCGAGCGGTTTTCTACGAGTTCTTCGAGCCTTGAGCCGCATTCTCGCTGTATTCTTTCTCTGTGTGCTGTCCTCATAACTACATCGAGGTGAGCCCAATGTTGGGTATCATTTGCAGCTATACGTTCTGTTTGGTCGGCAGACGCCAGGTCATGGTGCATTCACGCACACACGACAAGGACTACTCTTCGGAGATGGACACGACGACGACTCAATAACAAGAGTTGGTGGTGGTGGATACTTTCTGTTTGGGATGACTTGCAGATGGCGTGCCGTGCTCGTCGTGTTCACGATATCGGCGTCTCGACCGGAAGTGCAACCACAGCTAGGCGCTTTTTGTTTTCACGTTGGTTTATTAGTTAAAAAGAACCGTTGTCTATCAACGTGAAATATCAAGAATCTCCCGGGCAACGCACGGCATTAGTACTCTGCAAATACAAGAACCAACCCTGCAAGATAAGAATTCTACGATATCTTGTTAGCGACTATTTGCAAGTTTCTTGTCAGGGCAAAGGGTTGGAGCTTATATGTTAAATTCACAGAACAATACAAGCCGTTTGTTTTTGGCTGTTATGTTCTGTTTCCTCGTCCTCGACTCTGAAAGAGCTAATGAAGGTCAATCCCAAGTGTTTGGCGTTCGGTCAAGCTGTCTCATTCTTCAAATTCGCGTCGCGCAAGTTCTTCGATGTGCAGAAGGCTTAGTCATTTCGGCTGCATGGTTTCGGCAATCCTTCGGGTGTGTAAGATAACACGGAAGAGCTTTTTTTTTCATCGTGCACAGAATTCATTAGTACTAGTTTTGTATACTCTGCTTTCTGGTATGTGTTGTTCTGTCTAGCTAAGCGAGAATGTTAATGTTAAGGAAGATCAGGTCCTGCCAACTCAAAGTCTCAGGATACACCAGCTGAGCCGTGCGTTGAACTGTGTTACCGTCCACAGCATACACGTACACATTGGTGAACCGAGACCGGAGCGCCTTGACCATGATGATCGACAGCAGATCTTTCGAGCCAACAAGAAACCTACCATTGGCCACCACGTATCCCGAGCAATACACGCCGTCTGCTGACGCGAACTTGAGGCCCTTGAAGAAGACGTAGTTCTTGTAGTCGGAGATGAGTCCATAGCGAGCTTCAAGCTCAGCTCCGGTGGAAATCTCGAAGTTAGTAAGGTTTCCCTTTTGGGCGGTGGCTGCCTTCTCGTTCGATGACCGATCACCAGTGCTTCTTCCTGTGATTCCTACAGGTTTCTGGTCTGGATAAAAGTGGTGATATACTTTCCGCATCCCCACGTACACTAGTATAAGAACTACCAATAGCACTTTGGGGAACAAGGAAGCAGCTAAAAATCCAAAATCGATTCCGTTGAGCATGTGCGTAGTCCACAGACGCATCGGAGACAGAGCTTTCTGCGCATCGGTCACTGTAGCGATGCCCGCTCGATACTCGGTATTTGCGTAGTTTACGACTGCCTTCATCACAGAGGAAGAACCACGGATAATATCCAGACGATTGCTGTGGATAATCTCGAATAGGAAAAGAGCGAATGCTGGATCAATGCGTTCTCTAGTAAAGCGTCCAATAAGCCCAATAATACTGAGAAACATCACCAATAAATCGGCATGTGAGAGCTCAGAATGAATGGGAACCGTCTGTGATCCAGAAAGGGTATTGGCATTTGATAGGCAAAACTCAACGAGCGTCCAGTACTCGTTGACGTACCAAGACGCCATCACTAACAGCCCTCGCATCATAAGTGTGCCATTGGACACGGAAGCGAAGGCATCGCCGATCCAGATCTTGCCATTGCGCAGATTACGGAACACCACAATCGACAATACGCCCAGTGAGAATAGCGTCTGCCACGCAAAGATAAGGTGAATGCCGTGCACCCAAGCCCAGGAATCGAAAATGACGGGTTCGCCGTACCATTCCCATACTGACAAAGCGACTGCCGGATTTTCGTCCTCAACTTTCCAGAATAGGTTACGCATATTCGCCTGTTCCGACTCAGCATGCAGATAAAATCCGCGACGACGAGCTGTACGTGCATGAATGATAGGATCCACGGAGATATTGCGTGGTACACTGGACATTTCCCAGTATCCGTCGGGCGACACTCCATCCAGTGTGAAAACATTGAAAAGAGGGGCACTAGTGTATGGGTAATCCAACCCAAGCACAAAATACTGGTCTACCTTGGTGGCACGCATATCACTCACTGAAAAGAGCGTGGCCAAGATCGCCGGTCCCCGTCGGCTCTGTTCGTCAACGTGATAATCTTGCGTAGACATAGAGATGGCAACAATGTGAACATCGGTCGGGTCGCTCTTGCGACGTACCAAGTTGTAGACGCGAAGTAAACTTGGATCACCGGTCACCAACGGTGGAGATGTACAGTCGACCACAGACACGATAAACTCAAGGTCCTGGACAATAGTGAGATTGTACGAACTGGTCGCGATGAAACCCAGGAAGCCACTATTCAGGAACGTAGCATTATAAATGTCCGAGTTGAACATCTCGATGTCGCCGCAGTTTTCGAACGAGGTTGCTGTTGGTGACTGCAGATAAAGCGTGTCAAATCTTGGCGATGTGTCACCTCCCAGCACCTCCTTAACAAGAGGGCTGTCTCGAATCAGGCCGTCGCCACAGTACCCCGCAATGAGCTTGGCTTCCATTGTACCGAATGATTCCGTTCCAACATTCGTCCCTTGCAACACGTCGATCGTCGTGTACGCGGACTGAAGACCGATTCCCGCATACATTAGAGCAGCAGCCACTCCAGCGATACGGCGAAACAGATTGAAGAGCTGGGCACCCGTGATTCGCTTTTTTTGCACACCGCCATGTCCTCGCTTGTTTGAATTCGTGAAGGGAACATGTTTTGGAGATACACGTGCGATGAGCCCTGTCATCGTCACTAGCTACCGCGACGCAGTGTCACGCTGTGCACGCCCACCGACACCGAACGAGATGTAAGAGCTGGAAAACGCTGCTCAAATGAGCAAGGCGAGAAGGAATCAGGACAAGGGTGGCCATCTTCTAAATCTGAGGGAGACTGAAATAGCGAGATGGCCAATATGGAATCGAGAAGAATGCGTCGACAACTCACGATATTCTTGAAACGTAAAGGATAACGAAACGTCCTTGAGGACAAGATCGTGAAGGTGTACAGTATGGTAGTAGCTAGCCTACCTTCGTTCATTTCTCCCCGTAAAACCACGCTCCTCGTAAATCTCTAGGTTGTAAATCTCCCGATTAAAGATTACGAAGACTCACAGTACTCAAAAGCTTCATTTCGGGGTTCACCAAACCACGACATCAATGCGAAGGCTCCTCCACCACGTTCTGTGGATCACAACCGCAGGAACTATAGATTTGGTCATCGAATCTATCGATAAAGCTCGTAAACGGATGTGAAGCTCGCAATGGGCCTTTGTTGCGGTCGGGTGCGTCGGTCCTCGATTCCTGAACTCAAGGCTGTGATGGTCGTCGTGTCGACCGACAGTCTATGAATAGCTTACCAATAAATGCCCAACGCAAATGTCGTGGATCAGGTATCCTCGATAGACGCTGCATTTTTTGTTTTCGTATCGCATTGTCACTGCGCCCTTCATGAGTGTTGCCTTGAAAGGTGCAATTCGTCATGAGACAGCGATTGGTGCTCGGCGCTTGCGCATTCCATTCATGTGTGACAGACGTGCAAACATCCCATCAAAACTGAAGCAAGCAAGCAAGTCTGACGTAGCAGGCTTAAACTCATTACCCGACATACTCGGAAGGACGCAAGCCTCGAGACAAAGCAACAGCAGATGCCAGCCAGCATGACCGCAACGGACGTTCATGTGGAACCGCAGACCCCAATCAAGGCGGACGTTGACTATGTGCTGGTAGACTTCGAGCCGCTGCACAAAGAACGCTGGCGCAGCGAGACCGTGCGCCTCGTGTGCGTGCAATTCCCGCCCCACACGCGGAGCCTGTGGCACAAGCACCTAAACTATGGCATCTACGTGGTTATGGCACCACTCAACGTGACAGAGCAGCCGTACGGCCAAGAACCGCGCCCGCTGGTGCAGGACAAAGGCTCCGTATTCTGCCGCGACCACACAAAGGACAAACTGCTACATGTCATCACTAGTCACAAGACGCCGCTCTTCATCGTGGAGGTGGAGCTACTCAAGAAGAAGGCGGATATTATGCCCCATGACCAGGTGGTGTTGCACTCCAGTACCGGCGTGAAGCTGTTAAATAACGAACCAGAGTGCCGGGTGTACCGTTTGACTCTGCAGAACGACACTAATGAGGACCAATCGACCAATGAGATCTCGCTCTACCTTCCCACAGGCGCTGTGCTAGTTGTACTAGACGACTGTGAAGTGGAAGTCACCAATGCGTCGGAGAACCCAAACGTTGACACGGAGCGTGTGCTGTCGCTGAAGGTGGCGGATGACGTTCAGTTGACAGCTGGAAAGTTTAACCTCAAGCTGCTATCGTCCAAGACTAACAAGACGCAGTTCATCCTCGCTGAGGTCTACTAATGTGCTCTAGCGTGAACAAGAAGTGCGTGAATAAATACACTGTATTCCCAGCGAGGTAATAAAAGAAACCGAGAGAACGAATTTGCTATTGTCGACAGTGTATGGGATCTATACGCACGGAATCAAAAACTCTTCACACTATCAGTGTAACTTGTGCCTAATCTACTTCTTATTGATGTAACTACTTCGAAAAATTGGAAATGCCGCCATTCGTACTAGTGGTCCCGACACAGAAGATAAGTTAAACGTGAGCAAGTTCTCAAGGATCAAGCTACTACACTTTGCATCCGGCCGCTTGCTCGCCAGATCTGTAGCATGGATGATAGTTCAGAATGCTTGACTATTAAACTTATAGTATTAATGCGTTTACTGTACGATTCATCCAGTAAACACACGCAGCGTACTACAAAGGCTGCAGATATGAGCGGCAAGCCGTAAACCAAACCATTCTCAAATCGCTCGAGTGCTGCACGATGGGACCCGAGAACGGTGTTAAGCCTGACGTCGACTATGTGCTCGTGGACTTCGAGCCGCTGCATAAGCAGCGCTGGCGTTCAGACACTGTGCGTCTTTTGTGTGTCGAGTTTCCCCCGTTCACGACGTGTCTGTGGCACCAGCATCTGAAGTACGGGATTTATGTGGTCATGGCGCCGCTGGACGCGGTGGAACAGCCATACGGCAAGGAACCTCGACCGCTAGTGCAGAAGAAAGGAGCGGTTTTCTGTCGTGACCACACCAAGGACAAGTTAATCCACGTGGCAACCACCAACGAGTTACCTGCGTTCCTCATTGAAATCGAACTACTCAAGGAAAAGGCTGACGTAATCCCAAATGGAAATTTGCCACTGCACGAAGGCAAAGGGATTGAACTGCTCAAGAACGAACCGGAATGCCGTGTGTACCGCTTCACCCTGCAAGTTAATGGAAGCGATAAACTAGCAACTAGTGAGATTATGGGCCACCTGCCGACTGAAGCTGTGTTGCTAGCACTGGAAGACTGCAAAGTGGAGATCAGTGGTATTCTGAACGACAAGCATGAGGAGGGCATACACCACATTTCGATGAAAATAGGGGGCGATGTTCACCTGAAAACTGGCAACTTCAGCGTCAAACTATTGTCATCGAGCGCGAAGAAGACGCCGTTTGTCTTGGCTGAGGTGTTTTAGCTTCCTTTGTAGCTAGCTGCCTGTGTACATGGGTGTGCAATACCTCAAATGCACTCATCTCTTCCACTCCTCCTAGCAATGTACAGTTTCTCAGTCAGCTCGAATCATTTACATCTGCACGCTCCAAAAGTCCATTTTGAAATCGTGCTTGAAGATGTATGACTCGACGAAGCCCGGGTCCGTGATCGTGGACGTCTGGTAGTTGTAGATCAGTGCCTTGCGTTCCTCTTTGGGGTTCTTGAACCGCAGGTCGTTCTTGCGTGCTTCTTCAATAAAGAAGTTGGCGAAGAATTGTCCGCTTGCGACGCCTTCGCGCGAGTGGTCGATCACCTCGTACGGGGTACCGTCCTGGTATTCTCCATACTCGAAGCTGTTCTTCTCGGGGTGGAACTGCACGGCGTAGACCGGGTATTCTTTAGCCTCAAAAGCTGAGATAAACTCAACTCCTTGTCTGTCCACGTTGGTGGCCAGCACAGTGTAAAAGTCCGTGAGGGACGAGTACTTGTTGAACCTCTCGGGAGTGATCCCCTGTTCGTGGTTGTTCATCGTGATAGGCTTGTCCTTGAGCCATGAGTAGAGCTCAGGACTGGTCTGACTGAACAGTCGACTGGTGGGGGCAGCGTCCGTGAAGTTCAAAGGGAGAGTGATGTTCATCGAGTCAAGGCCTTTATTGAGCGAGTCCATGTCTTTCGTCGTGAGCTGCACGAGCCACTCGAAGCCGAGACAAGTGGCCCACACGGGGAAGTGCACGCCCTTGTCGTTAAGCTCTAGAGCCAGCTGGAACAGCCGCTCGGCGCGGTCATTGACGATGGCGGCGCCGCCAGGGAACAGCAACCCATTGAGCTGCGGTAGAAGCTGCTCCAGATACGGCTTGGGTGCGTTGTATGGGATAGGGACGACGCGACCCCCGGCGCTCTCCACCCACTTGACGTAGGACGCCGCAATGTACTCGCCGTGTTGGGAGATCGGGTGCGCGAAGACACCGATGATTGGCCCACGAGCGCTGGCGGAAACGATGGAGAGGCTTAGAGCCGCGGATAACAAGAACGACCACAGCGCCATCGCGAAGATGCGGATCTGACACTCAACATGAAGAGGCAAAAGTAGGTGACGTGATTGGCTGGATCATTTTATCCAATAAGATATCCGTACGAAAATTCACAAAATAAATGCTTAACAGGAAAAAAACAGCAGTTCGGCGATTCGCGTGTTTATTCTGTTTAGAAGGTTTTATTTACAGTAAACCCTGTCCTAACTAATAATCGCCGTTGCCAAGTTCACCATCAGATATAGAAATAATATCAGAAAGTGGAGAATGGTAAGAACCCGAGGCACTAACACTTCGAGTCATGGGCTCCTAATACATAAATAGCTCGTCTCGTTTAAGGTTGCATTCAGAGTTTTGCGATGGGAAGGAAGGCAAAACACGTCGGGAGCCTGACTCAGGAGCACAAAAAGAAAGTATGCACGTGGAAACGAGACTTTCCCGGCCTAACCCAGCTGCAGCTAGCTGAAAGGGCAGAGCGTGAATTTGCTCTGGTTAAACGTCCTGTACAAGGAACCATCTCTGCAATCCTCAAGGAAAGCGATCGTTACCTCGACGTCCGGGATGATGACTGAGACGTACGACGATCATGGTCACTGAGCTTTTCCCGAGCTTGACGAAACCCTCGCAAACTGGGTCAGGCACACCGAATCATGTTGGACGGAAACATTATTAAAGCTAAGGTCAACGCCTTCTGGAGAAGATGCAGGTGGCGGAAGATGAACGTATCACTGGTTTTTTTTTTTTAAAAATGACGAAGCTAAATGCATTTCTAACAACAATAATATATTTGTTTTACATCAGATTTTGAAAATATTGTATCAAATATAGCGTTTGGTAGGATTATCAATCCTTTATTAACCTTTGACTGGGAACCGAGTCGGTGAATCCGGTCCGTATCATATATAACAGGATATCAGCGATGAGAGGGATCATTTAGGACAGGATATACTTTAACACAAAATAGCAGGTTTTACATCTTTGAAACAAATTATATTTGGTTGAGATGAAAGAGAGACAACTTACAACCGCCTAAGCATTTCTAGGTAATCCTCTCGACTTCATGAAGAAGGTTTTTCCCCAGAACAAGTCGAACAAGTGGTGGCTGAGAGTACAAGAGGTGCGAACACAGATAAACGTGCTCAAACTCAAATCCGGATTGTTAACTATATGCAAACCGTTCTCTTAGACTGGCAAAAAGATACGATTTCTAAAGGTGGAAAGTGAAACAATCGATTCCTCCTAATGGAAAGCCCAACGTAGATAGTGTTCAAGTAGTTCAGTGGATTGAGAAAGCTGTGTCGACTATAAACGAAGATTAAAACGAAAGTCGATGGAGTACATACTCAAAAGACTTGGTCAAGGCCCACGTACAGCAGACACAGAACTCGTTCAAGAGCACGTCGCCCGACTTACTGACAACGATCTGTTTAGTACGCTGCTTCAGAACCAACACGTGGAATATTAGAACTGAGAGAAAAATCACAATATCAATATATCAGACAATTTACTGCATTGCTGTAATAGTTCTCGGAACACTACGAAGGAAGCTGGTGCTTCCAGGCAAACCAAAACTCTGTTATTGGTCCTAGGCTAGTTGCATAAATGGTCTAAGCGGCCGCTCTGTTGGCCGTGGTAGTTTTCAGGGCTCCTCAAAATGCAATATCATATTGATTGCAAGACAGAGACCTCGCCAATTAATAACGGCATTATTTTGTACATTGCGCCAGTATGATCTTGACACCATCCATCACTAGCGCCTCGTCGCCGTCGTATCTCACGGCGACGAAATCTGCGGAATTGAGCAAAACGAACACGCTCAGCAGACTCAGGAGGGGGGGGGGGTTACCTCGAGAACCCTCCCGCCGCGCACCCCATTTCCTGTGAGTACCTGCACAAGTTGTCTTTATAACACAATACTGAGCATGAATTCCTGGACACAAAATCTCTATAAAACAAAATCAATTTATCCAGGATTTAACCAAGTATCCGAGTTGATATTACTCTAGTTGCGCATCTACGAAGATGACTCTACGCTTTTCCTGTTGTTATCTACTGCCTTAGCAACAGCACTGCCATCCCACAAACGCCTGTTATACTGCAAAAACATCACCGTTTCGAGCGTCTTCGGATTAAGACTTCGAAGTAGGCGAGAGTAGACAATTCCAGCTCGCGAAAACAGCCGCTCGACATCATTGGATGTAGGCGGAATCCAACCCAGGTCGACGGATGTAGCCGTCGCTGCCTCTTTCGCAAGCGCGGCCTCAGCAAACGATCGCTTCTTAGAGATATTTTGGTGGTCCACCGGATCTCTCACTTGGGATGAACTATCGGAATGCAGCACCTTAGCCAGGGCTGTACGCTCAGTGCGAGTAAGGGACCGCTCCTTCCCCGACAAAACCTTTACTATTCCATTTTCGAAGTTGGGGAACTTTACGGGGGGGGAGGTGATAGAGAATTGCGTCCTCGTAACGGGGTAATGCTTGATCACGTGATCAAAAAGAGCA